GTTTTGTGTGCCAAGTTGGTTCAATTCCATCATTGGTGGAGTCCAGAATGCTCTTTGATTGTAGGTGAACTATAAATCCCAGCAACTACAACTCCCAAATGACAAAATCAACTCCCCACCCAAACCCCAAATTTGGGCGAATGCCTCAATGTATGGAAAGGGTTTTGTTGTGATATAACCCTAAATAGACACCCAAAAATAAAAGAGGCCCGTCAGCATTCGTTCTTTTCTTACCAAACCCTTAACTTTCCAACTTCTGCAATTTTGCCAAATTTTAATCCCTGCGTCAGCGAAAAGAGACAGAGGTGGGATTCCCGGCACCCACTTTAGGAGCATCTACATTGGGGATTTAATGAGGTTTGACACCGCTTTAACTTGCCATGTCTCAATGCTATGGGAATTGTAGTTTGCCCAGTGATCGTAGCCAGGGATCCAGTTGAGTATGGAGGGCTGAATATAGACTGCAAATCCCAACCAAATATCTATCTATCTATCTATCTATCTATCTATCTATCTATCTATCTATCCCAGGATTGGAGTGGCATCAAACTGCTTTAATGGCACAGTGCAGATGTTTTCTATCTGCCACGCAATCAATTATGGGTTGAGTGAAAAGAGACCGGGGAAAAAGCTGTTTCCCTTACCTAAGCGGTTCTTCGTTTCTGCCGAAATTTTGTCATAACAGGAAGCGCGCTTTTGGGGTTTTTTTAGATTAGTAGGCATGTTTTCCATGAATTTGTGTAAATGAGACAGACGCGGAGTGTGTCTACACCAGGCATGGGCAAACTTTGGCCCTCCAGGTGTTTTGGACTACAACTCCCACCATTCCTAACAGCCGGTAGGCTGTTAGGAATGGTGGGAGTTGTAGTCCAAAACACCTGGAGGGTCAAAGTTTGCCCGGCTGTTAGGAATGGTGGGAGTTGTAGTCCAAAACACCTGGAGGGCCAAAGTTTGCCCTGCTGTTAGGAATGGTGGGAGTTGTAGTCCAAAACACCTGGAGGGCCAAAGTTTGCCCGGCTGTTAGGAATGGTGGGAGTTGTAGTCCAAAACACCTGGAGGGTCAAAGTTTGCCCGGCTGTTAGGAATGGTGGGAGTTGTAGTCCAAAACACCTGGAGGGCCAAAGTTTGCCCTGCTGTTAGGAATGGTGGGAGTTGTAGTCCAAAACACCTGGAGGGCCAAAGTTTGCCCGGCTGTTAGGAATGGTGGGAGTTGTAGTCCAAAACACCTGGAGGGCCAAAGTTTGCCTGGGTATTAGGAATGGTTGGTGTTGTAGTCCAAAACACCTGGAAGGTCAAAGTTTGCCCGGCTGTTAGGAATGGTGGGAGTTGTAGTCCAAAACACCTGGAGGGCCAAAGTTTGCCCATGGCTTGTCTACACTGTACATTTAACACAGTTTGATACCACTAAGGTGGGATCAAACGAAACCAGTCCAGCCTAAGGTGTATCTTAGCCCAGTTCTCAATGCTATTGAGTCTTGGGAATTGTAGTTTCACCACACCTCTTGGGCCAAAAGCAGTTCTTTCGTGATTTACCAAACTACAGCTCCCAGGACACTGCAGCTGTTTTATATGATACCGAACTGAATTAATTTAATGTTGTAGAGAGTTTAGGGTGCGTCTATACTGTTGAATGAGTGCAACTTGGGAGTTCTAGTTTCCCAAGGCCTTCTTTGCCCAAATTATAACTCCTTGGACTCCATAACTTTTGGGTTGTGTCAGCAAAAAAGGCATCAAACTAAAATGATGTGACATTTAGGGCTCCTTCTTCACTGCCACAGAGTCCTGGGAATTGTAGTTTCCCTCTGTGTCGCCTTGCTAAACTTCAACTCCCAGGCCTCTATCAACAGTAAACAAGGCACTGAACTGGATTAATTTGACACCGTGGCTGAATCATAACCATACCAAGGAATTCTGAGAGTTGTAGTTTCCCTCTGTGTTGCCTTGCTAAACTACAACTCCCAGGTTTCTATCAATAGTAAAAGTGGCATCAAAATGGATCAATTTGACATTGCAAGTGCATCGTAACCATGCTTTGGGAACTGTAGTTTCCCTCTGTGTTGCCTTGCTAAACTACAACTCCCAGGTTTCTATCAATAGTAAAAGTGGCATCAAAATGGATCGATTTGACATTGTGAGTGCATCGTAACCATGCTTTGGGAAATGTAGTTTCCTTCTGTGTTGCCTTGCTAAACTACAACTCCCAGGTTTCTATCAAGAGTAAAAGTGGCACCAAAATAGATCCATTTGTCATTGTGGTTTCCTTCTGTGCTGCCTTGCTAAACTACAACTCCCAGGTTTCTATCAAGAGTAAAAATGACATCAAACTGGATCCATTTGTCATTGTGGTTTCCTTCTGTGCTGCCTTGCTAAACTACAACTCCCAGGCCTCTATCAAGAGTAAAAGTGGGATCAAACTGGATCCATTTGTCATTGTGGTTTCCTTCTGTGCTGCCTTGCTAAACTACAACTCCCAGGTTTCTATCAGTAGTAAAAGTGGCACCAAACTGGATCAATTTGTCATTGAAGTTTCCTTCTGTGCTGCCTTGCTAAACTACAACTTCCATGCCTCTATCAGTAGTAAAAGTGGGATGAAACTGGATCAATTTGTCAATGTGGTTTCCTTCTGTGTTGCCTTGCTAAACTACAACTCCCAGGTTTCTATCAGTAGTAAAAGTGGCATCAAAATGGATCAATTTGACATTGCGAGTGCATCGTAACCATGCTTCGGGAATTGTAGTTTCCTTCTGTGTTGCCTTGCTAAACTACAACTCCCAGGTTTCTATCAATAGTAAAAATGGCATCAAACTGGAACAATCTGACATTGTGCGTTCATCGTAGCCATGTCAAGGGAACCTGGGAATTGTAGTTTACCTGTGTCACCTTGAAACGTTTCAACTCCCAGGTTTCTATCGATAGGAAAAGTGGCATCAAACTGGATCAATTTGACATTGTGAGTGCATCGTAACCATGCTTTGGGAATTGTAGTTCCCTTCTGTGTTGCCTTGCTAAACTACAACTCCCAGGTTTCTATCAATAGTAAAAATGGCACCAAACTGGATCATTGTGGTTTCCATCTGTGCTACCTTGCTAAACTACAACTCCCAGGTTTATATCGATAGTAAAAGTGGCATCAAACTGGATCAATGTGACATTGTGAGTGCATCGTAACCATGCTTCGGGAATTGTAGTTTACCTCTGTGTTGCCTTGCTAAACTACAACTCCCAGGTTTCTATCAATAGTAAACATGGGATCAAACTGGATCCATTTGTCATTGTGGTTTCCTTCTGTGCTGCCTTGCTAAACTACAACTCCCAGGCCTCTATCAAGAGGAAAAGTGGCATCAAACTGGATCAATTTGACATTGCGAGTGCACTGTAACCATGCTTTGGGAATTGTAGTTTCCTTCTGTGTTGCCTTGCTAAACTACAACTCCCAGGTTTCTATCAATAGTAAAAATGGCATCAAACTGGATCAATCTGACATTGTGCGTTCATCGTAGCCATGTCAAAGGAACCTGGGAATTGTAGTTTACCTGTGTCACCTTGAAACGTTTCAACTCCCAGGTTTCTATCGATAGGAAAAGTGGCATCAAACTGGATCAATTTGACATTGTGAGTGCATCGTAACCATGCTTTGGGAATTGTAGTTCCCTTCTGTGTTGCCTTGCTAAACTACAACTCCCAGGTTTCTATCAATAGTAAAAATGGCACCAAACTGGATCATTGTGGTTTCCATCTGTGCTGCCTTGCTAAACTACAACTCCCAGGTTTATATCGATAGTAAAAGTGGCATCAAACTGGATCAATGTGACATTGCGAGTGCATCGTAACCATGCTTTGGGAATTGTAATTCCCTTCTGTGTTGCCTTGCTAAACTACAACTCCCAGGCTTCTATCAGTAGTAAAAGTGGGATCAAACTGGATCCATTTGTCATTGTGGTTTCCTTCTGTGTTGACTTGCTAAACTACAACTCCTAGGCCTCTATCAATAGTAAAAATGGCATCAAACTGGATCAATTTGACATTGTGCGTTCATCGTACCCATGCTTTGGGAATTGTAGTTCCCTTCTGTGTTGCCTTGCTAAACTACAACTCCCAGGTTTCTATCAATAGTAAAAATGGCACCAAACTGGATCATTGTGGTTTCCACCTGTGCTGCCTTGCTAAACTACAACTCCCAGGTTTATATCGATAGTAAAAGTGGCATCAAACTGGATCAATGTGACATTGCGAGTGCATCGTAACCATGCTTTGGGAATTGTAGTTCCCTTCTGTGTTGCCTTGCTAAACTACAACTCCCAGGCCTCTATCAGTAGTAAAAGTGGGATCAAACTGGATCCATTTGTCATTGTGGTTTCCTTCTGTGTTGACTTGCTAAACTACAACTCCTAGGCCTCTATCAATAGTAAAAATGGCATCAAACTGGATCAATTTGACATTGTGCGTTCATCGTAGCCATGCCACGGGAACCTGGGAATTGTAGTTTACCTGTGTCACCTTGAAACGTTTCAACTCCCTGGTTTATATCGATAGGAAAAGTGGCATCAAACTGGATCAATTTGACATTGTGCGTTCATCGTAACCATGCCAAGGAAACCTAGGAATTGTAGTTTGCCACTGTCTCACCTTGCTAAGCTTCTATCTGCAGGAAAAGTGGTATCAAACTGCTTTATTTTGATGTTACGGATGAGCCGTGGTTTCCCCTAGCAAACCAAATCTCATCCTTGGAAACTCCAGCAGGATGAAACTGGGATAAGAGTGCAGTGCAGACCCTCTCTGAATCCTTCTTCGTACCAACTCAGGCCTACAGAGGATGAATCTCTCTCTTTTTTCCTTCGATGATGGTGACTTTGGGTGTCCAAAATCCCTTCCCTGATATGGGAAACGCACCGACACACACTCACAACTCCTTATCAGTTCGCAACAGGCGCAGGGCTTCCTGTCCGCATTGTCCGTCCCGGTCCAGGAAGCAGGGCATAAAAAGCCGCCCTTCCACCTCTCCAAAGGGACTCCTTTTCGCCCAGCATCCTCGCCAGGGAGAGAGAGAGAGAGAGGCACCAAAGCCCAGCGTCCCCCAAAAAGGAGGGGAGAGGAGGACCCCTCAGCCATGAAAGGCCAAAGAGAAGCAGCGCTGGTGGCTCACCGGACACGTCGGAAGGCGGCGGAGGAATCCCAGCATCCACCGGAGAACCAAAGGTGTGCCAACCATCATCCAGAAGGCAACAGGTGAGACATAAAGGATGACTATATATCCAGGCTTTTAGGTTTTCCTTGGGTCATTTGGCCCCTTGGAAAGGCATTTGGGAATGAGAATCCCATAAACTTCCAAAAGGGAGGAATGAAATGCGCAGATATATGATGGAATGACAACAAACAGATATCTAGGAGTCTTAATAGACCCCAATCTGAATGTGAGCCAAGAGTGTCATGCTTGATGTTGTTTCTAGCGCCCACTTTTTGCTTGATGTTCAGGCAGTGCTTCTTGTAGGTCACAGCACGGTCCAAAGTGACTCCCAGGTATTTGGGTGTGTTGCAATGCTCCAGTGGGAGTTTATTGTTGTTTATTGTTTGTGTTTTTGGTTTTATTCTGCTGTAAGTTGTTGTCTGGGTTTGGCCTCTTGTAAGCCTCCCCGAGTCCCCACAAAACCCTTCTACTGTTTTCTGTTGATCATGGGAGTTCTGTGTCCCAAAGAGTGGCTCAATTTCATCATTGGTGGAGTTCAGAATGCTCATTGATTGTGGGTGAATATAAATCCCAGCAACTACAACTCCCAAATTACAAAATCTTTTTTTTTGAGTGAAGGACATACATTGGGTTGTTAGGTGTCTTGTGTCCAAATTTGGTGCCAGTTTGTCCAGTGGTTTTTGAGTTATGTTAATCCCACAAACGGCCCTCCAACAGCTTGAGGGCCTGTGACTTGGCCCTCTGTTTAAAAAGTTTGAGGACCCCTGATATACGCAAACACACATATATACATATAGGTTAAGGTTTTCCCCTGACATTAAGTCCAGTTGTGTCCAAATCTGGGCTTTGGTGCTCATTTCCATTTCCATATGTGTATATACACACAAAACACACACGCACACAGACATATACACATACTAGCTGTCTCCTGCTACACGTTGCTGTGGCCCAGTCTGTTGATCTGGCAAATAAAGTAATGAGAAAGTGTTGGTTTCTAATATATGTAATTTCTTTCTGCTTGTGGGTAAGCAGTATTTCTTGCTGTTTCTTTGTCAGTGTTAATGTGGAGAGTGCCTGGTTTGCCCACCCTGGAACATGGAACATATAGTTGTCCTTCTTTAAGAGTCCCTTTCAAATCTATGATACTATATCTCTGTGTGTGAATCATATCTATCTATCTATCTATCTATCTATCTATCTATGCCTGGATGGCTCTTTGTCAGGAGGGCTTTGATTACGTTTTCTTGCCCTGGTGATGGGAGTTGGACTGGATGGCCTTAAGTATTTTCTGTTGGTCATGGGGGTTCTGTGTGGGAAGTTTGCCCCAATTCCATCGTTGGTGGAGTTCAGAACATTCTTTGATTGTAGGTGAACTATAAATCCCAGTAACTACAACTCCCAAATGTCAAGGTCTATTTTCCCCAAACTCCATCTGTGTTCACATTGGGGCATATTGAGTATTCATACCAAGTTTGGTTCAGATCCATCATTGTTTTGAGTCCACACTGCTCTCTGGATATAGGTGAACTACAACTCCCAAACTCAAGATCATTGCCCTCCAAACCCTTCTAGTGTTTTCTGTTGGTCATGGGAGTCCTGTGTGCCACATTTGGTTCAATTACATCATTGGTGGAGTTCAGAATGCTCTTTGATTGTAAGTAAACTATAAATCCTAGCAACTACAACTCCCAAATGACACATCAAATTTTTGAGTGATGGTCACTCCTTGGGTTAGTAGGTATCTTGTGGCCAAATTTGGGGGCAATTCCCCCAGTGGTTTTTGAGTTATGTTAATCCCATAAACGAGCATTACATTTTTATTTAGCTAGATGAACCCAAGCCCATGTGGACAGTGGATTGGTTCAAATTCAAACGTGTCCAATTCTCCACACCAACTTTGACGTGACCAGTAAAATTGTGGTTTATCCATTGTTGTTTTGTGGTTTTGATATGCTGATTGTACCATCTACCTAATTGCATTTTCTACTTTGTGAATGTTTTTCTCTAACAGATGTGCTCTTTATGAAGGCTCACACCTCTACATAATATGTATTTAAATGTTTTACTAGCTTTCATTTTAGAATAGATTAGTCTCAGGTCTCATCTACACTGCCGTATAGTTTCAGAATACAGTTTGAAGGTATTGAACTACATTATATGGCAATGTAGACTTATATAATCCAGCTCAATGAAGCTAAATTGCATTCTGAAAGTGCATTATAAGGGCCCTAAATCCCAGCAAAGTTATGGAGCATTCCCTTACATCTGCTAACTTGTGTAAATATGGATTTATCCTGTGTTATGGGCCAGAGGTCCCTGGATGTCATCTACTGCCCGCCTACCTGCGTGACCGCATCTCCGTATACGAACCCACATGATCTCTTCGATCATCTGGAAAGGCCCTGTTCATGATCCCACCTGTGTCGCAAGCGCGATTGGTGGGGATGAGGGACAGGGCCTTTTCTGTGGTGGCCCCCTGATTCTGGAACTCTCTCCCCAAGGACATCAGACAAGCCCCAACATTGGCAGTCTTTAGGAAGAGCTTGAAGACGTGGTGGTTCCAGTGTGCCTTCCCAGAATAGGAAACTCCAAGCATCGTGTCCCAAATGCACTTTACTAGAGATTTAAGTTTGTCTGCACACCGCACCTATCTCCAAAAACCTATCCATTNCATGTTTTCAAACTGCTAGGTTGGCAGAAGCTGGGGCTAACAGCGGGAGCTCACCCTGCTCCCCAAATTCCAACCTGCAACCTTCCGGTTGATCAAAAGTTGTACCTATTGAACCTGTAACCTTCCAGTCAGCAAGTTGTACCTATTGGTACCAATTGATCTATTCACATTTGCATGTTTTTGAACTGCTCGGTTGGCAGAAGCTGGGGCTAACAGTGGGAGCTCACCCTGCTCCCCGAATTCAAACCTATAACCTTCCGGTCAGCAAAGTTGTACCTATTAGTATCTATTGATCAATTCACATTTGCATGTTTTCGAACTGCTCGGTTGGCAGAAGCTGGGGCTAACAGTGGGAGCTCATCCCAGTCCCCGAATTCGAACCTCCAACCTTCAAGTTCAGTAGCTCAGTGTTTCAACCTATTGCGCCACCGGGGGACCCCTATACATATACATATATATATATATATACACACACACACTAGCTGTACCTGCCACACGTTGCTGTGGCCAACCTTCCCTCTTTCTCTCCTTCTTTCCCTCCTTCCTTCACTCCCTCTTTCCTTCCTTCCATCTTTCCTTCTCTATCTCTTTCCTTCCCCCTTTTTCTTTCTCTTCTTCTGTCTCTTTCTTCCTTCTCTTTCCTTCTTTCCTTCCCTCCCTCTTTCTCTACATCTTCCCCCTTTCCTTCGCTCCCTCTTTCCTTCCTTCTTTCCCTTTTTTCTTTCCTTCTCTCCTTCCTTCCTTCCTTATCTAACTTTCCTTCATTCCCATTTTCTTTCCCTCCCTCTTTCTCTCCTTCCTTCCTTCTCTACCTCTTCCCTTCCTTCTCTCTTTGCTTCCATGCTTCCTTCTCCTTTTTCTTTCCCTCCCTTTCTTTTCTTCCTATTTTTCTCCGCTTCCTTCCCTCTTTCTTCCCTTTTTTCTGTATTGTCATTTAGGTTTTTGGGGCTTTTTGGGTCCCTTCTGCTGTGTTTTTCAGTGTTTTTATGAGTGAAGGACATACATTGGGTTGTTAGGTGTATGATGTCCAAATTTTGTGTCAATTCGTCCAGTGGTTTTTGAGTTCTGTTAATCCCACAAACAAACATTACGTGTATACACACACACACACACACACACAGAGTGAATGGATGCCTTTTTCCAGCCATTATATATACACACACACTGTATATACATATATACATACATACACATAAACACGCATATTACCATTGGTTCTAAATCACATTGCTTTCCTTTGATCCCACAGTTGCGACTTGAACCACGTCTTGAAAATGCTGCTCTGAACCAACTCCGCTTTACGGACAAATGACGCGGCAAAGCGGATCGGGTGAGTCCCCTTCTTTCTATAGATCACACGGGTCAAAAGAAGTATTCATACCATCATCCTCATCATCATCATCCCACTTTTATCGCTTGATTGACACCCAACTCGTCTCACGTTTCAAACATTACAAGTCAAAAATCTACAACCTGTAAAGATTAAAATGGAATTCAAATTTTAGGATGATGATGATGATGATTATAATCACCTCTCAACAAAAGATTGCTCCAGGCACTTCCAGGCTATCAAATGCTAATCAAGGTGGTCAGTTGAAACATTCACCCCTAGCTCCAGCAGACAAGAGTCTTTGTCCCACCCTGGTCATTCCACAGATATATAAACCCATTTTCCTAGTTCCAACAGACCTCGCTACCTCTGAGGATGCTTGCCATAGATGCAGGCGAAATGTCAGGAGAGAATGCCTCTAGAACATGGCCCTATAGCCCGAAAAAACCTACAACAACCCAAACTTTTAGCAACGATCGAGGCCTCCTTAAGAAGCCCATTTCCTGCCCCCTCTACTGAGAATTGGCCATTAGTTTGTCCCAGGGTGGGACAAAAGAATCTAATCACCTCTCAACAAAAGATTGCTCCAGGCACTGCTAATCAAGGTGGTCAGTTGAAACATTCATACCTAGCTCCAACAGACAGGAGTTCTTTGTCCCACCCTGGTCATGCGACATATATAAATCCATTTTCCTAGTTCCAGCAGACCTCACTACCTCTGATGTAGATGCAGGCAAAATGTCAGGAGAGAATGCCTCTAGAACATGGCCATATAGCCCGAAAAAACCTACAACAACCCAAACTTTTAGCAACGATCGAGGCCTCCTTAAGAAGCCCATTTCCTGCCCCCTCTACTGAGAATTGGCCATTAGTTTGTCCCAGGGTGGGACAAAAGAATCTAATCACCTCTCAACAAAAGATTGCTCCAGGCACTTCCAGGCCATCAAATGCTAATCAAGGTGGTCAGTTGAAACATTCACACCTAGCTCCAGCAGACAAGAGTCCTTTGTCCCACCCTGGTCATTCCACAGATATATAAACCCTTTTTCCTAGTTCCAACAGACCTCACTACCTCTGAGGATGCTTGCCATAGATGCAGGCGAAACATCAGGAGAAATGCCTCTAGAACATGGCCATATAGCCCGAAAAAACCTACAACAACCCAGTGATTCCGGCCATGAAAGCCTTCGACAGTACATATGTATATTATTATTATTATTATATTCAACCCAAAAGCCAGTTAAAGACTTATGAGAGATAAGGAGATGGATCTCATTGATACCTCCATTTGGGTCGAGCTACAACTCCCATCATCCCTCATTTGGAATTATGGGAGTTATAACCCTCAAATGTGGAAACGTTCCAGCTCGTGCTTTTCTTCAAACTGGAGGATAAATACAGTTTGATACCTCATTGATTCCTCAATGCTATGAGATCCTGGAAGTTGTAGTCTTCCAAGGCCTAATTCATACTATATTATAACTTTAAACCAGCCCTTTTTTGACTAGATACCACTTTGACCAGGGATCACTTTCCAATATTAGTACCAAAACGGCCGGAATCACTGGGTTGTTGTAGGTTTTTTCGGCTATATGGCCATGTTCTAGAGGCATTCTCTCCTGACGTTTCGCCTGCATCTATGGCAAGCATCCTCAGTGGTAGTGAGATTACGAATCAGTTTTTGGACAACTTTAGACTTGGTTTGGTTATTGGATTGACCACATCAGCTCTAGTTTCTTGTACAGAACATTTGCCATCCAGTCGTCGCCATCTGCTCGCCCACAGAAAACCACATTTAATAATCGAGAGCTGATGTGGTGGTTGTAATCTTTTGTGGGTAGTCAGCCTCTCCTCTCCTGACATTCCCATTGCCACGGCACTCTAAGAGGGTTTCGCAAGACCACTCGTTCTCGTTGCTACATGGTTTTGTGTACTAATAGTGAGGCCGCAGACCATATTTTCGTTCTTGTGGACCACTGGTGGTCCACGGACCACAGGTTGGGAGCCACTGATCTCGACATTCAACTTGAGCATCCTTTTACGATCCTACACAATCCCTAAAATCTTCTCTCGCTCCCACTGCCTTCGCAAGTGCGACTTGTGGGGACGAGGGAGAGGGCCTTCTCTGTGGTGGCCCCTTGGCTTTAGAACTCGCTCCCCAGAGAAATTAGGCAAGCTTCCACCCTGGCAGTCTTCAGGAAGAGTCTGAAAACTTGGCTGTTCCAGTGTGCCTTCAATGAATGAATGACCAAACCCTACATAAAATGCCCTCGGAAGCACTTTAATTTACTGTTAGTGCAATTAAATCCTACATCGTCCCTCGGATCCCTTTCCAAATATATTACATTCCTCTCTCACTCAGTGTTTTTAAACTTTTAATTTCTGTAACCAGCCTTGCCCACTGTGACCAATTTTCTGTGTTCAAATATTGGGATTTTTATATTGTCTGAGGTGTTTATTTATATTGTTTCTTGTATTTTATTTTCTTACTAGCCGTCCCCTGCCACACGTTGCTGTGGCCCACATGGGGGTTCTGTGTGGGAGGTTTGGCCCAATTCTATCGTTGGTGGGGTTCAGAATGCTCTGTGATTGTAGGTGAACTATAAATCCCAGCAACTACAACTCCCAAATGTAAAGATTCTATTTTCCCCAAACTCTACCAGTGTTCACATTTGGGCATATTGAGTATTCCTGTAGAGTTTGGTCCAGATCCATCATTGTTTGAGTCCACAGTGCTCTCTGGATGTAGGTGAACTACAACTCCAAAACCAAAGGACACAGCCCACCAAACTCTTCCAGTATTTTCTGTTGGTCATGGGAGAACTGTGTGCCAAGTTTGGTTCAATTTCATCGTTGGTAGGGTTCAGAATGCTCTTTGATTGTAGGTGAACTATAAATCCCAGCAACTACAACTCCCAAACGACAAAATCATTTTTTGAGTGAAGGACATGCATTGGGTTGCTAGGTGTCTTGTGTCCAAATTTGGTGTCAATTTGTCCAGTGGTTTTTGAGTTCTGTTAATCCCACAAACAAACATTACATTTTTATTTATATAGATATTATGTTGTTGTATTCTTATGTGTATATTTGCATTGTTGTATTGCTGGGCTTGGCCTCATGTAAGCCGTCCCGAGTCCCCTTGGGGAGATGGTGGCAGGGTATAAATAAATTATAATTATTAGAAACACAACAAGATGAGTCCACAGCAGACAAGATCACTCTGCTGGCTGTTGTATTGGATCACACGTCGGACACTTCCCAAGTTATCTAAGATTGTGTGATATATCGGTGAATAATGTGTGCAGATTCCAGTAAGGTGGCCTTTTGCAGCTGGTAGATGGTAATTTTGTCAACGCCGATTGTGTTTAAGTGCAGGCCAAGGTCTTTAGGCACTGCACCCAGTGTGCCGATCACCACTGGGACCACCTTGACTGGTTTGTGCCAGAGTCTTTGCAGTTCGATTTTTAAATCCTCATATTGTGCCAGCTTTTCCATTTGTTTCTCTTCAATCCTGCTATCACCTGGGATTGCGACATCGACGATCCATACTTTGTTTTTTAACATGATTGTGAGGTCAGGAGTCTTGTGCTCCAAAAGTCTGTCTGAATCCGGAAGTCCCAGAGGATTTCGACGTGTTCATTCCCTGTAACTTTTTCTGGCTTGTTGTCCCACCAATTCTTTGTTGCAGGCAGATGGTATTTGTGGCACAAGTTCCAATGAATCATCTGAATCAATGAATTATTATTATTATTATCATCCATGGACCCAAATGCCATTGGAGACCACATCCACTGCATATCGCAGCATCCACCAACCTGCAAGGGGCAGGATTAGGATGAATTAAAGCAGGGGTCTTCAAACTAAGGCCCGGGGGCCAGATACGGCCCTCTAAGGTCATTTACCCAGCCCTCACTCAGAGTCAACCAAAGACTTGAAAGCACACACACAACAACAACCCTATCTCATCAGCCAAAAGCAGGCCCACACCTCCCATTGAAATACTAATAAGTTTTTACTTGTTAAAATTCTTCATTTTAATTATTGTATTAAGTTTTTTTTATTACAAATAAGATATTTGCAGTTTGCATAGGAATTCATGTTTTTGTTTTGTTTTGTTTTTCAAATTATAATCTGGCCCTCCAACAGTTTGAGGGACTGTGACCTGGCCCTCTGTTTACAAAGTTTGAGGACCCCTAAATTAAAACTTATTTGTTGTGAGGGATTGCGGTCCCCAAAATTAACTTTGGGGTTCCAAAACGCAATTTCTTCCCTCCCTTTTATCTTTGCCAAAAAGGTGCCAGTTTCTTTCCAAACTTGCTGAGAGCTGCCTCATCATTTCCTATAAGGCGAAGCCAGGAAATATAGAGAGATGTCAAGTATTTAATTTGATATATATATATGTGTGTGTGTGTGTGTGTGTGTGTGTATTCAAAAACATCTCTGGCTGTTATTATTAACCCTGGGAGGTTGAAAGGGAAGACAGATAGCAAAGAGGAAACAAGAGAGTGGTTGGTTCCTCTAGGAAGGGTTTATTTCCTTTCTCTCTTTGGACTCTTTCCCTCCATCCATTCCTTCATCCAAGCCACCCAAACTGCATCCCTTTCCAGAGGAAAAGTGAGTAGACACATTTGCCAAAAGGAAGAGAGTCTTAACTAGAAATAATAAGGATGTATATATCATTTAACTGATGCCAGATCATGAGATAGTGGGAGAGAGGCAAGGCTTCGGGAAAGGAGCAAAAAGGCGTGCGCTTTTACGCAGCCAAAACACCCCTCTTGTTTTGAGCTGTTTTGCAATTGAAAAACACAGTAAAAGGAGCCCAATTTTGGGCAGCATAAAAGAGGAGAGGGTTTTTGTAAAATCTGTGGAGAAATTCGTCCTGCAAATCGGTAAATAAGCGAACTGAAGGGAAAGGAAGGAAGGGAGACCCGTGCGTAAAAGTCTGTGCGTAAAACAAAGGCAGAGAAGAAAGGAAAAGGGGAGAGAAAAGGATTGTGTAGTTTATGTCTCTCTCTCTCGTTATATACTTACCTATTCGTTCTTGTTACATCGAGGGAGACACTTTTAAAAGTTTGTTTTGAGATAAATATGTATATATTTGTAAATAAACAAACCCTTCCATGTGCAGCCGAGGTGGAAAAGCGACTTTGGGAAACCATCTGATCAAAAGGGAGAAAGGTCTGTCTCCACCTGGTGGCTGCAAGGAAAAAGGTTGCCATTTGGATTGCTTTGGGTTTGCATCCAAAATATTGAGTGAGCAACCCCTTTTCACTGGGTTGCTGTGAGTTTTCCGGGCTGTCACAATGTCTCTAGTTGTGGGTGAACTACAACTCCCATTATGCTGAGTCAGTCCCCTCAAAGCCCTCCAGTAGGTGAGGTTATTAATGGGGGTTCTGTGAGCCAAGCTTGGTCCAGGTCCATCATTGGTGGAGGTCACAGTTTCCTTGGTTGAGGGTGAACTACAATTCCCAGAAAGGAATCTCCATTCCTCGCAAATCCCTCCAATAATCAAATTTCAGTATATCAGGTGTGTGTGCCAAGTTTGGTCCAGATCCAACGGTGTTTGGATTGGGTTGTTGTAGATTTTTCCAGGCTATATGACCATGTTCTAGAGACATATTTTCTCCTGATGTTTCGCCTGCATCTGTGGCAAGCATCCTCAGAGGTAGTGAGGTCTGGATTGTCGAAGGCTTTCATGGCCGCAATCACAGGGTTGTTGTAGGTTTTTTCGGGCTATATGGCCATGTTCTAGAGGCATTCTCTCCTGACGTTTTGCCTGCATCGATGACAAGCATCCTCAGAGGTAGTGATGTAGGTGAAACGTCAGGAGAGAATGCCTCTAGAACATGGCTATATATATATATATATAAACCTACAACAACCCAGTGTTTGGATTCACAGTGCTCTCTGGATGTAGGTGAACTACAACTCCCACAAATCAAGGTGAATTTCCGCCAAAGACACCCCAGTATTTCTTACTAGTCATGGGGCTCTGCCTGCCAAGTTTGGTCCAATTCCATCTTTGGTGGAGTTCAGAGTGCTCACCGATTGCAGGCGAACTATAAATCCCTGCAACTACAACTCCTAAAAGTCAAGGTCTATTTTCCCCAAACTCCACCAGTGCTGGTCATGGGGGTCCCGATCAGTGGGGGGGGGGGGGGGGGTCGCAAGAGGGTGTCCAGAGGGGTCAGCAAAGACACAGTATTTTCTGTTGGTCATGGGGGTTCTGTGTGGGAAGTTTGGGCCAATTCTATCGTTGGTGGGGTTCAGAATGCTCTTTGATTGTAGGTGAACTATAAATCCCAGCAACTACAACTCCCAAATGTCAAGGTATTTTCCCCAAACTCCACCAGTGTTCACATTTGGGCATATTGAGTTTCATGCCAAGTTTGGTCCAGATCCATCATTGTTTGAGTCCACAGTGCTCTCTGGATAGGTGAACTACAACTCCCAGACTCAAGGTCAATGCCCACCAAACCATTCGAGTGTTTTCTTTTGGTCATGGGAGTCGTGTGTGCCACATTTGGTTCAATTCCATCATTGGTGGAGTTCAGAGTGCTCATTAATTGCAGGTGAACAATAAATCCCAGTATAAATTACTTTTTTTGATGGGGGGCACATCTACACTGTTGAATTAAAGCAGTTTGAAACCACTTTAGCTGCCAAGGCTGAATGCTATGGAAACCTGGGGGTTGTAGTTTGATGAGGCAGCAGCATCCAGGTAAAAGGACTTGTTGAACAACAACTCCCAGGAAACCATAACATTGAGCCAAGTGGTGCCAAACTGAATGAATTCTAAATGCACCCAGGAGAGGTCTATGGATCTTGCAAAACTACAGCTCCCAGGATTCCACGGTAATAAGCAAAGTGGTTTCGAATTGTATTAATTCTACAATGTAGAGGCACCCCACATTGCTTACATAGCGATGTCCCCATTTTGGAAAGCATGTTTCCTATTAGCCTAGCCATGTTTTCGCTTAGGCGACGGCGCTGTTTGTTGGAATGTGGGAACAAGACGTCGGATTGAACCGCCGGAACGTCGTTATCTGCCCACAAAACAGAACTTCATTAATTGCCAAGGCATGGAAAGCATAAAAACTGTGGTGGGAACCAAATACGGTTCCAACAAACAGCGGCACGGAGAGGAATGTATTGTATAGCCAGCCTCTGCAAACCCCCAAATTCTGCATCCATGGGTTCAGCCGTTGCTTGAAAATGTTATGGTTTATTTTGAAATGCCGAAAGGGAACCTTGGTTTTGCCATTTTATATCACTCGAATTAATACACCACTGTCTATAATAGGATTGTTATCCACAAAGGTTCAAACCACAGAACTCTATGGAGATGCCCTCACTGATTGACTTTGTAGCTCCCTGGCTATTCTCAGGTTAAATTAGCCTGCAGCTGACATCTCCCAACAAAGGATTCCTCCAGGCAGCAACCAGCAAGGCTTTGAAGCTACAAGGCCATTAAATGCTAATCAAGATGGCCAGTGGCAGCATTTACACTTGCCTCCAACAGACAAGAGTTCTTTCTCCCACCCTGGACATCATTCCACAGATATAAACAAACCCAATTTTCCTAGTTTCCAACAGACCTCACAACCTCTAAGGATTCCTGCCATAGATGTGGGTGAAACATCAGGAGAGAATGCTTCTGCAACATGGCCAAAAATCCCGGAAAACCCACAGCAACCCAATTCTATATATAACCTCATTATTTGAAACTGGAGATGCTGGAAAATTTTCAGACTTGCTGATTGGTCAAATGGATGCCAATACTAGTATTTGCTCTCCTTTTGAGTTGGGCATAAGACCTCTTGACGCTTGAAAATCGTTCTCCAAAATAGTTTCAAACATTGTGTATTTTTGGTTCCATTTGGGAATATAATGCCATTGACTGTTCTGAAAGAGAAAGAGTGTTTGAGAAGGTCAAGGGTGCTTTTTGGATTTCAACACAACACTTCACCTGCGTGTTTGTGTCAAACACTTAAAAATCTCTCCTGGTTAATATACAACTTTGATGTTGGTTAGGTATGGAAGGTCTGTTCCCCTCCCAAACCCCTCCAGTAATCAAATTTCGGCATATCAGATATGTGTGCCAAGTTTGGTCCAGATCCATCATTGTTTGGGTACATAGTGTGCTCTGGGTGTAGGTGAACTACAACTCCCCCAAATCAAGGTGAATTTTCCCCAGAGACCTCTGGTATGTTTTGCTGCTCATGGGGGCTCTGTGTGCCAAGTTTGTTCCAATTCCATCTTTGGTGGAGTTCAGAGTGCTAATTGATTGCAGGTGAACTATAAATCCAAGTACCTACAACTCCAGGCCAATTCCCCTCAAAACCTACTAGTATTCAAATTTGGGCATATTGGGTCTGCATGCCAAATATGGTCCAGATCCATCATTGTTTGGCTTCACAGTGCTCTCTGGATATAGGTGAACTACAACTCCCACAAGCTGAATTTTCCCTAAAGACCTCTGGTATGTTTTGCTGCTCATGGGGGCTCTGTGTGCCAAGTTTGGTCCAATTCCATCATTGGTGGAGTTCAGAGTGCTCTTAGATTGCAGGTGAACTATACATCCCAGTACCTACAACTCCAAAGTGTCCAGGCCAATTCCCCTCAAAACTTACCAGTATTCAAATTTGGGCATATTGGGTCTGTATGCCAAGTTTGGTCCAGATACATTGTTATTTGGGTACATAGTGCGCTCTGGATGTAGGTGAACTACAACTCCCCAAAGCTGAATTTTCCCCAGAGACCTCTGGTATGTTTTGCTGCTCATGGGGGCTCTGTGTGCCAAGTTTGGTCCAATTCCATCATTGGTGGAGTTCAGAGTGCTCTTAGATTGCAGGTGAACTATACATCCCAGTACCTACAACTCCAAAGTGTCCAGGCCAATTCCCCTCAAAACTTACCAGTATTCAAATTTGGGCATATTGGGTCTGTATGCCAAGTTTGGTCCATATACATTGTTATTTGGGTACATAGTGCGCATCTGTGTAGGTGAACTACAACTCCTCTAAATGATTATCATCATCATCATCATCATCATCATCATCATCATCATCATCATCATCCTTTTCTTTCATGATTGAGACCCAGAGCAGTTTGGCCTATGTGTATGAAATATGTTGTTGTTGTTGTTGTTGTTATCATCATCACCATTATCTCTCTTGATCGAGACCCAAAGCGGTGGAATACAGGTTATACACAAGGATTTAATTAAGCTAAAAACATACAGAACCTCTGTTCCTCCTGCAAATATATCCATTTTGCATTTCTCCTTTTCTCCAGGTTTGAGGCTCGAACAGCAACAAGCAGGACTTGTGTACCTCAACACCTTGGGCACTCCTTCTATGTGAAGTCGGGAGAGAAAGGCACAGGAAAAGGCCCGAAAATGAGAATGATCACCAGCTTCGTGGCCGGATATGTCCTCGTTCTTATGGCATCCGATGTGGACTGTTTCTCCAGATCAGGGTAGGTTTTTCTGCTTTTGCATCCCTTCAAATCGGAGTACTTTTGGATTTGGAGTTTTGTTTTGGATACAGGTTGGGACCAGAAGAACTTATAGATTACCTCTGCTTTATCTGAAAGTTTTCGGACCCCAGAAGTATTTGGGATTTTGGAGGTTTTTTGGAAGCGGTTTGGGTACCCTCCATATCCAAAATGCCTGGGATCTGAAAGATTTTGGATTATTTGGCGAATACAGGTTGGGTCTTCTTTATGCAAAATGCTTGAAATCAGGAAGGTCGATGGACACTGAGCATCATTTATATAGATTTCCAAAATTTGAAAGACTTCAAACAGCTTTGCTATGCGATGGCCAATACCTGTGGTCAATTTTCCTACTTGGTCATAAAATATTGAGTCTTACGAGGGGCATTCATTAAAGATTTCCCTTGACCCACTTCCAGTGGATGGAGAACAATGCTTGCATCAACAGGAGCCTAGTGTCTAGATCTAGGGAAGTCATGCTCCCCATGCTCTATTCCACTTTGGTTAGACCACACCTGAATATTGTGTCCAATTCTGGGCACCACAATTCAAGAGAGATATTGACAAGCTGGAATGTGGTCCAGAGGAGGGCGACTAAAATGATCAAGGGTCTGGAGAACAAGCCCTATGAGGGCTTAAATGGATGGATGGCATCCTTGAAGTGACTGGACTGACCTTGAAGGAGCTGGGGGTGGTGACGGCCGACAGGGAGCTCTGGCGTGGGCTGGTCCATGAGGTCATGAAGAGTCGGAGACGACTGACTGAATGAATGAACAACAACAACATGTCCTTGTTGCTGAGAAAACTTCTGCAGTGTGAACATTGGCTGAGACCTATTTCAAGAGGGAGGAACCCTGAAGAAGAGAAGGCTGAGAGGAGATATGATATGATAGACAGAACAATGGCTTCAAACTACAAGAAAGGAGATTCCATCTGAACATGAGGAAGAACTTCCTGACTGTGAGAGCTGTTCAGCAGTGGAACTCTCTGCCCCGGAGTGTGGTGGAGGCTCCTTCTTTGGAAGCTTTTAAACAGAGGCTGGATGGCCATCTGTCAGGGGTGCTTTGAATGCAATACTCCTGCTTCTTGGCAGGGGGTTGGACTGGATGGCCCATGAGGTCTCTTCCAACTCTGTGATTCTATGATTCTACCTCACTTGTAGAAAGTCGACACGCTGCTCCAAAAGCCACGTTGTGACTTCGGAAATCAGAGTCTTGTCATCTGAGAAATGCTTGCCCTTCCAAAATACCTTCATTGTTGGAAAGAGGTGGAAGTCGGATGGTGTGAGGTCGGGTAAATAAGGGGGATATGGTAGAATATCAAAGCCAGAGGAGCATGCTTCTTCCATTTGGGCAACATGGGAGTTGTGTACTGGTGCACTGTCTTACAGAAGATGGACACCATTCCTGAGCATGCCATGCCTGTTTCTTGGTGTTGATGGTCTCCCACAATTTCCGCAACAGTGAAGCCTAGTCTGCCCCAGTGATCATAGTCCCCTTTGCTAGGAAACCCATCCATCCTGGTCCCAAAATACTGTGAGTGTGACCTTGCCTGCCGAGAGTTGGGCACGGGCCTTCTTTGGAGGCGGTGAGTCAAGATGCTTTCATGGCATCAACTAGACTTGAGTCTCAGGATCAGAGGGATGGACCCAGCTTTCCTCCTGAGTGATCAGTCTGTTGACAAAGTCCTCCTGGTTTCCCCCAAAATCCTGTGAGCATGCCCTTGCTTGGCAAGAGTTGGGCACATCCCTTCTTTGGAGGCAGTGAGTCAGGATGCTTCCATGGCATCAACTGGACTTGAGTCTCATGATCAGAGTGATGGACCCAGCTTTCCTCCTGTGTGGTCAGTCTGTTGGGAAAGTCCTCCTGGTTTCCCCCAAAATCCTATGAGTGTGACCTTGCTTGCCGAGAGTTGGGCACGTGCCTTCTTTGGAGGCGGTGATTCAGGATGCTTCTATGGCATCAACTAGACTTGAGTCTCAGGATCAGAGGGATGGACCCAGCTTTCCTCCTGAGTGATCAGTCTGTTGACAAAGTCCTCCTGGTTTCCCCCAAAAGCCTGAGAGTATTGGACTCATTCCTGCTTCTGGAAAGGTGTGGGCAGCCAGGGGACCGAGTGAGTGGAGACCTTGGTCTTGGGTGTTTTTTTTTCCATGGACCCCACTCATCTTGACATTTTGGGCTCGGTGGAGAATGGTTACGTGGGGATTTTCTAAAATGGTGGCCTCCACTTGCTGGATGGTGTGTTCCTCAAGAGGAGAGTGGGGTCTCCCTGGAATTGGAGCTGTTTCCACCGTAGTCTGACCACATTTGAATGGACGATGCCAGTTCTTGACTCCATCATATGATGGGGAATCCTCACCAGAGACCTTTTTCCTCTCATCGAACGTCTCCTTTGGTGTGCGGACTTTCGAGTAAAGGAACTTGGTGACTGCTCTGTGTTCCACTGGGTCTATTCTCAAACCTCACACCACTTCCGCACCCGTCACATCAACACCGTTCTCAGTTCCGAGTTGTAAACTGGCACATAACCTATTGAGACTTATATCACTACACACGTGGAGTTTCGGCATCCTGTGTTAAATAGAAGTGGGTCAGGGGAACTCTTTCATGAACGCCCTCGTATGTACATGGTTGGTGTCTACATGATGGACTCAATGTAGTTTGATTCTGCTTTGCTGCCTGACTCCATGCTGCCATTTGTAGCTGGGTTGTTGTAGGTTTCTTCTGGCTATATGGCCATGTTCAAGAGGCATTCTCTCCTGACGTTTCGCCTGCATCTATGGCAAGCATCCTCAGAGGTAGTGAGGTCTGTTGGAACTAGGACAATGGGTTTATATATCTGTGGAATGACCAGGGTGGGACAAAGGACTCTTGTCTGCTGGAGCTAGGTGTGAATGTTTCAACTGACCACCTTGATTAGCATTTGATGGCCTGGCAGTGCCTGGAGCAATCTTTTGTTGAGAGGTGATTAGATGTTCCAACCTGGACACAGCATTTTATTTGAGAACACAGAAATGCTGGACCACTCTCACAACCACCATGTCAGATGACACAGAGAAGCCATTGAAATCCACATGAAGCATGTGGACAATTTCAACAGAAAGGAGGAAACCATGAAAATGAACAAAATCTGGCTACCAGTATAAAAACTCTAAAATTAAAACAGCAAAACAGCAGAGGGAAAACAAACAAGGACATCTAATCACCTCTCAACAAAAGATTGCTCCAGGCACTGCCAGGTCGTCAAATGCTAATCAAGGTGGTCAGTTGAAACATTCACACCTAGCTCCAGCAGACAAGAGTCCTTTGTCCCACCCTGGTCATTCCACAGATATATAACCCTTTTTCCTAGTTCCAACAGACCTCACTACCTCTGAGGATGCTTGCCATAGATGCAGGCGAAACGTCAGGAGAGAATGCCTCTAGACCATGGCCATATAGCCCGAAAAAACCTACAACAACCCAGTGATTCCGGCCATGAAAGCCTTCGACAATACACTGCCATTTGTAGTTTGGTGCCCGCCTTCCTGGGCAGAGAAGGCTCAAGACCTTGTGAAATTACAACTCCTACTGCATGGAGCCAAAGGCGGTTCAAGCAGTATCGAAGTGCATTCGTTCCACCCTATTCGTATGAACGCCCTCTAAATCTGCCTTTCTCCCTTAGGCGCAAAGGCTGCTCCGTGGAGGTACGAAGCCGCACTACGTCTTACCTCACCTCCCACATCCAGCCCGTCTACCAACCCTACCTCACTTTGTGCCAGGGGTATCGACTTTGCAGCAAGTACAGGTGATTTTTTCCTCCGTTTCCCCTTTAACTCACAGCAACCCAAGTCCTACCCGTTGGCTGCGTTTGGCTTCTAGAAATGAGATGGAACTGTCTGTTATTTTGATTTATTTATTTAATCACATCCATGTCTTCCTTTGTGATTATTCCTAGAACGACCTACAAGGTTTCTCAGCGGCCGGCGTATCGGAAAGTCTCCCAGCCAATATACACTTGTTGCCCGAGATGGAAATGGGGAGTTGTTTCCCATCGGCTTGGTTGCAATATTGGTAAGTCCCTTTTGATGTGTTGTCGAAGGTTTTCATGGCCAGAATGACTGGTTTGCTGTGAGTTTTCTGGACTGTCTGGCCATAGAATCATAGAATCAAAGAGTTGGAAGAGACCTCATGGGCCATCCAGTCCAACCCCATTCTGCCAAGAAGCAGGAATATTGCATTCAAATCACCCCATCCAGCCTCTGTTTAAAAGCTTCCAAAGAAGGAGCCTCCACCACACTCCGGGGCAGAGAGTTCCACTGCTGAACGGCTCTCACAGTCAGGAAGTTCTTCCTCATGTTCAGATGGAATCTCCTCTCTTGTAGTTTGAAGCCATTGCTCCACTGCGTCCTAGTCTCCAAGGAAGCAGAAAACAAGCTTGCTCCCTCCTCCCTGTGGCTTCCTCTCACATATTTATACATTGCTATCATATCTCCTCTCAGCCTTCTCTTCTTCAGGCTAAACATGCCCAGCTCCTTAAGCCGCTCCTCATAGGGCTTGTTCTCCAGACCCTTGATCATTTTAGTCACCCTCTTCCTCTGGACACATTCCAGCTTAGAGTCAACATCTCCCTTCAATTGTGATGCCCTCATCATGTCTCCTCTCATTGCTTTCCAATTGTGCTTCCATTTAGCCACCTGTATGACCATGGCTCCATTTCTTTACAGCCCTGATTGGCTCTCATAGTGAGAAAGTTCTTCCTGATGTTCAGGTGGAATCTCCTCTCTTGTAGTTTGAAGTCCTTGTTCCATTGCGTCCTAGTCTCCAGGGAAGCAGAAAACAAGCTTGCTCCTCCTCCTCCCTGTGGCTTCCTCTCACATATTTATACATGGCTATCATATCTCCTCTCAGCCTTCTCTTCTTCAGGCTAAACATGCCCAGCTCCTTAAGCCACTCCTCATAGGGCTTGTTCTCTCAGACCCTTGATCATTTGAGTCGCCCTCCTCTGGACACATTCCAGCTTGTCAATATCTCTCTTGAATTGTGGACACAATATCCCAGGTGTGGTCTAACCAAGGCGGAATAGAGCATGGGGAGCAGGACTTCCCTAGATCTAGACACTAGGCTCCTCTTGATGCAGGCCAAAATCCCATTGGCTTTTTTTGATGCCACATCACATTGTTGGCTCATGTTTAACTTGTTGTCCACGAGGACTCCAAGATCTTTTTCACACGTACTGCTCTCGAGCCAGGCATTGTCCCCCATTCTGTATCTTTGCATTCCGTTTTTCCTGCCAAAGTGGAATATCTTGCATTTGTCCTGTCTCATGTTTAACTTGTTGTCCACGAGGACTCCAAGATCTTTTTCACACGTCCTGCTCTCGAGCCAGGCCTCGTCCCCCATTCTGTATCTTTGCATTTTCGTTTTTTCTGCCTAAGTGGAGTCTCTTGCATTTGTCACTGTTGAACTTCATTTTGTTAGTCCTCCCCATGAGGACTCCAAGATCTTTTTCACACGTCCTGCTCTCGAGCCAGGCATCGTCCCCCATTCTGCCTCTTTGCATTTCGTTTTTTCTGCCTAAGTGGAGTCTCTTGCATTTGTCACTGTTGAACTTCATTTTGTTAGTCCTCCCCACGAGGACTCCAAGATCTTTTTCACACGTCCTGCTCTCGAGCCAGGCATTGTCCCCCATTCTGTCTCTTTGCATTTTGTTTTTCCTGCCTCAGTGGAGTATCTTGCATTTGTCACTGTTGAACTTCATTTTGTTAGTCCTCCCCACGAGGACTCCAAGACCTTTTTCACACGCCCTGCTCTCGAGCCAGGCCTCATCGTCCCCCATTCTGTCTCTTTGCATTTCGTTTTTTCCTGCCTAAGTGGAGTCTCTTCCATTTGTCCCTGTTGAACTTCATTTTGTTAGTTTTGGCCATTCATCTCTCTAATCTGTCAAGATCGTTTTGAATCCTGCTCCTGTCCTCTGAAACATGGCCATACAGCTCAGAAAACTCAAAGCAAGCCAAGTCCCTTTTGCTTTATTTACTTCCGAGATCCGCACCCGTATCCATGCATTCCGGCTCACTTTGCGGCCCATTCAAGTCTCTTTTCCTCTTAATGCCCTACTCCAAACCCATTCCAACGTCTCCATATCCTTCTCAAACATGAAGGACCGAGGATTGAGCCCAAGACTCCAGATAAGAGAGAATGTAATTGTCCTATTATTTTACTCAGTTTGCAAAACATGCTTCTATTAATTCAAAGTCGCTTCTGGTCAGAAGGGACACAGAGTTTCATGTATGATGCATGTAGAGCAAACTTGCCCAACATAACAAAACTTTTAAGTACTGATGGAGTTTTTCAGAGTTAAGCTGGCTTGATGGGAGTTGTAGTTCACCCACAACCTAATGCATTTTGGACAATTAAAAAAAATACTTTTTCAAATAACTCAAGCAATGTCTGAGACCCAAGCTTTATACATACATACATACATACATACATACATACATACATACATATAGGCACCTAATTTTACCACCAAAAATGGGAAAAACGTATTGACTCGAGTATAAGTCGTGGGTGGGAAATGCAGCAGCTACTGGTAATACGAGATAAATATAGATACCAATAAAATTACATTAATTGAGGAAAGAGTAGCTTAAACGTTTTTCAATGTTTACATAAAACTGTAATTTAAAATAAGACTGACCAACTTTGATTAAACTATTATTCTAATCTTTTTCAGTGCCAGTGTGCTTACGTATCCTTCCAATAATAATAAAGAAAGTAAAATAATAAATGTAGTAAGAATAATCAAGTAAAATAATAAATGTAATAATAATAATTATTATAAATAGAGTAATAAAATAATAATAGAGTAAAATAATGCAAATGTTATAATGCCAATAATAGAGTAAAATAGTAAATGTAATAACAACAATAATAAAGTAGAATAATAAATGTAATAATAATAATAGAGTAAAATAATGCAAATGTAAWAATYCCAATAATAGAGTAAAATAATAAATGTAATAATAATAGAGTAAAATAAATGTAATAAAATAATAATAGAGTAAAATAATACAAATGTWATAATGCCAATAATAGAGTAAAGTAATAAATGTAATAATAATAATAATAAATAGAGTAAAATAATAGAAATGTAATAATGTCAATAATAGAGTAAAATAATAAATGTAATAATAATAATAAATAGAGTAAAATAATACAAATGTAATAATGTCAATAATAGAGTAAAGTAATAAATGTATTAATAAATAGAGTAAAATAAATGTAACAAAATAATAATAGAGTAAAATAATGTAAATGTAATAATACCAAAAATAGAGTAAAATAATAAATGTAATAAMAATAATAAACAGAGTAAAATAAATGTAATAATAATAATAAAGGAAAATAATAAATGTAATAAGAATAATAAACAGAGTAAAATAAATGTAATAAAATAATAATAGAGTAAAATAACAAATGTAATAATAATAATAAATAGAGTAAAATAAATGTAATAAGAATAATAAACAGAGTAAAATAATGTAAATGTAATAATACCAATAATAGAGTAAAATAATAAATGTAATAATAATAATAAATCGAGTAAAATAAATGTAGMAAAATTATAATAGAGTAAAATAATGCAAATGTAATAATGCCAATAATAGAGTAAAATAATAAATGTAATAATAAATAGAGTAAAATAAATGTAATAAAATAATAATAGAATAAAATAATGCAAATGTAATAATGCCAATAATAGAGTAAAATAATAAATGCAATAATAATAATAGTAATAAAAGAGTAAAATAATAAATAACTTTGACTCAAGTATAAGCCGAGGGCAGCCTTTTCAGCCTAAAAAAGAGGCTGAAAAACTACGTAGGTTTATACTCGAGTATGTACAGTGTGTGTGTGTGTGTGTGTGTGTGTGTATTATATATATATATGTATGTATGTATGTATATATATCTCCCCACACACATACACACACGGGCCTTATTATTTGGGTCTTCTCTTTTAACAGTCTGCCATCCTCCGTGCCAGAACGGTGGGACGTGTTCACATCTAAATAAGTGTTCCTGCACACCTGGATGGACCGGACGATTTTGCCAAACAGGTAAATCCCTCCGTAATATTTGAATATAAAGTAACAGGCTTTTGGGACCCCTTTCCTGTCCTGGAGACTTTCCTGGGGTGCCCAAAATGCCCCCCGCCATGGCCAAAATGGACACATTATCTTATAGTGTTTACTGGGTTCTGCTTGTCAATATATTAACACATATTTTGGTAGGCATTTACACAAACAGCCTTTTAAGTAGATATATATCCTGGGAGTTGTAGTTTGGCATCTTTTGGCCGAGGACGGATTGGCTCGGCGACGCAAGCCGGGAAGAAATGACACCACAGCTCATATTGTGATGTCGAAGGCTTTCGTGGCCAAAATCACTAGGTTGATGTGAGTTTTTTCGGCTGTATGGCAGCATTCTCTACTGACGTTTTGCCTGCATTTGTGGCAAGTATCTTCAGAGATTTGTTCAGAGGATTGTTGAAAATGAGGCAAGTGTGGTGTGTGTGTGTGTATATATATATATATATATATATATGGAATGATGTCCAGAACTCTTTGACAACCACCACGTCACACTACACAGAGAAGCCATTGAAATCCACAAGCACGTGGACAATTTCAACAGAAAGAAGGAAACCATGAAAATGAACAAAATCTGTTCTGTTTTGATATAATTTGTTTATATGTCTTCTCATTCGCATTGAATGTTTGCCATATATGTTGAGTCCCTCCGGGGAGGTAGGGCGGTCTACAAATAAATAATAATAATAATAATAATAATAATAATAATAAAAATAAAAAAATTGTTATTATTATTATTAATATTAATATTATTAATATTATTATTATTATTAAAAAACACCAGAATCGAGACAGTAAATAAAAAAAAATACTCAGAAACAAGGGAAGGAACTCCAGACAGCAAACAATCAAGTGCCAGTTAACAGCTCTCAAACAGAGGGTGCCTCCAGGCAGCAACAGCCAGGCTTTGCAGTTGCAAGGCTACTCAATGCTAATCAAGCTTGCTAATTGCAACATTCACACTTGCTTCGAACAGACAAGAGTTCTTTCTCCCACCCTGGACATTCCAGATATATATACTTATATGCGTGTATATATATACACATATACATACGCACACATACATACATACATACATTCAACTTGCTTAATTGCTAACAAAGCTCTGAAGATGCCCACCAGAGATGCAGGCGAAACGTCAGGAGAGAATGCTACTAGAACATGGCCACGCAGCCTGGAAAACTCACAGCAACCCAGCTCATATTCTCCCCTTTAAAGGAGGATGATCCCTCTCTAGTTTTCGAGTTGGCAACTCTTTCTGGGCGATTATATATTATATATATATATATATATAATTTTGTGTTTAGATGTGGACGAATGTGCCGGCAGGACCCACGGCTGCAGCCACTTTTGCCTCAATGTTGCCGGAAGCCACCGCTGCGGATGCCCCCAAGGGTACGAGCTTCGGATGGATGGCAAGACCTGCCAGGCTTTCCCCACAGATGCCCCTCCTGCTGCGACCACTCTGGGTAAGGCCCTCCTGAGAGCGGCACAATCCCACTTTCACGGTCCTGGGGAACCTGGAGCATTTTGGGGTGGATCACTCTCCTGTGCATGAAGCTACAAATCACCAGCTGCAGATGACGCAGGACCACAGTGCTAACCGGCCTTTTGAATGAATGCAGATGGAATCTGCGGAGTTGTAGTTCCACGAAGTCGACTTCTCAGCCAAAGGGTGCCAAACTACAACTCCCAGGATCCAGCAGCATGGAGCCGTAGCAGTTCAAACTGCATTCATTCTATGGATAGGACCCCATTGTTCAATGCTATAGGATCCTGGGAGTTGTAGTTTGGCACCTTTTGGCCGAGGAGGCCCAGGACTTGGTGGAATTACCACTCCCAGGGCCAAAGTAACATGATATAACATGATGCAACACAATGTAACACAATGCAATATGATGTAACACGATGCAGCGTGATGCAATATGATGCAACATGATGTAACACGATGCAATATGATGTAATTACCACTCCCAGGGCCACAGTAACATGATGCTACATGATGCAATATGATGTAACACAATGCAACACAATGCAATATGATGTAACACAATGTAATTAGCACTCCCAGGGCCACAGTAACATGATGCTACATGATGCAATATGATGTAACACAATGCAACACAATGCAATATGATGTAACACAATGTAATTAGCACTCCCAGGGCCACAGTAACATGATGCTACATGATGCAATATGATGTAACACAATGCAACACGATGCTGTATGATGCAACATAATGCAATGTGATGTAACATGATGCAGCACGATGCAATATGATGCAACATGATGTAACACAATGCAATATGATGTAATTACCACTCCCAGGGCCACAGTAACATGATGCTATGTGATGCAACATGATGTAACGCAATGCAACATCATGCAGTATGATGCAGCACAATGTAACACAATGCAACACAATGCAATATGATGTAACACGTTACAGCATGATGCAATATGATGCAACATGATGTAAGACGATGAAATACCACTCCCAGGGCCACAGTAACATGAAGTAACACAATGCAACACATTGCAGTATGATGCAACACAATGTAACACAATGCAATACGATGTAACACAATACAGCATGATGTAATATGATGCAACATGATGTAACACAATGCAATATGATGTAATTACCACTCCCAGGACCACAGTAACATGATGCAACACGATGCAGTATGATGCAACACAATGTAACACAATGCATTATGATGTAACACGATGCAGCGTGATGCAATATTTTGCAACATGATGTAACACGATGCAATATGATGTAATTACCACTCCCAGGGCCAAAGTAACATGATGCTACATGATGCAACATGATGTAACGCAATGCAACACCATGCAGTATGATGCAGCACAATGTAACACAATGCAACACAATGCAATATGATGTAACACGATGCAGCATGATGTAATATGATGCAACATGATGTAACACGATGAAATACCATTCCCAGAGCCAAAGTAACATGAAGTTACACAATGCAACACAATGCAGTATGATGCAACACAATGTAACAAAATGCAATATGTTGTAACATGATGCAGCATGATGCAATATGATGTAACACGATGCAACATGATGCAATATGATGCAACATGATGCAATATGATGCAACACAATGTAACACAATGCAACACGATGCAATATGATGTAACACGATGCAGCATGATGTAACACAATGCAATACAATGCAACACAATGCAATATGATGTAACACAATGCAACATGATGCAATATGATGCAACACAATGTAACACAATGCAACACGATGCAATATGATGTAACACGATGCAGCGTGATGTAACACAATGCAATACAATGTAACACAATGTAACATGATGCAATATGATGTAACATGATGCAGCATAATGCAATATGATGCAACATCATGTAACACGATGCAATATGATGTAATTACTACTCCCAGGGCCACAGTAACATGATGCAACATGATGCAACACGATGTAACACAATGCAACACAATGCAGTATGATGTAACATGATGCAACACGATGCAACACAATGCAATATGATGCAACACGATGCTATATGATGTAACACAATGCAACACGATGCAACATGATGTAACACGATGCAACACAATTTCTGTCCCAGGGTTATAAATATTATTTCCCAATTGCTTCTAGCACAACTCGGGACAGAGTTGGGTTTAATACACGGAAAAAGTGTATTAAACTACACAAACGGGAGGGACATCCTGCAGCACATTCTGCTTTAGTTTTTCAATGAGTATCTCATCAAGTCTCCACCCATAGTTTGTGTCAGTTGCAAAAGCAAAGTTTCCAAGTTCTTTCCCAATGCGAGACTATTACTCCACTTGTCTTTGGATGCCCGGATGGGGATGGACGCACCGTCGCTCCCCGCGGCACATTATTACTTTTGGTACGCGCTGTGCCACTTCAAACTCGTACCGTGAGTAATAATGCGCTGAGGGACAGCATCCGCCGCCGGCACCATCTCCGCGAGTGGGTAAGTATGCCAAAACAACAACAACAACAACAACCCAAACCCAACACCAAACCTGTTTGCATCTGTCCCGAGTTGTCGCTGGGTTCGAATCCTATTCTTTTCCAGCTCTGTTTCTATTATTGTGTCGTTTCCTGGCTTTTCGGCACCCAAATTCCACATTTCCGCAGATGCTGCTAAAAAATGTCCCGCTAGGAAAGAGGACGAGGAGACTGGAGGGTGCCAAAAGAGAGAGAGAGAGAGAGAGAATTCATATTGGGACCTTAAATCTCTATATCAGGAGAGGCGGGAAATAAATACAATATATTATTGTTACTATAAATAATAATAATAATAATAATAATAATAATAATAATATGCTTTATTTATATTCCTTGAAAGATAAAAACAAAAGAAAATTCACCTAAATGCAGAATGCTATTGGTCCCTAGAAAGGTATTATCCCCAAACTAAGGATATATCTTACCGAGGGATTTAATGTATATCTTAACTGTGAGAGGTGTTCAGCAGGGGAACTCTCTGCATCGGAGTGTGGTGGAGGCTCCTTCTTTGGAGGCTTTGAAACAGAGGCTGGGTAGCCATCTGTCCGGGGTTTCATTCGGGGACAATTCTATCCCAGAGTTTATGTGTTTCCTCCAGCACAGGCATCCCAGTGTTCCTTTCTCTCTCCATTGGTGTGGAATTTGCATGACCCCACCCACTGGCTCTACCTTAACCCTTTCCTATTCTTTTGCCTATGGCATATAGCAAACCAAGGAATTGATCAGCGACTGAACATACTAGAGAGGTTTGGGGACACTTCAACATGACTTGTAGGTCCTGGGATGTATAGTTTGTTGGATGAGTGGGCTTATTAATAAAAGACGCTCCTCTAAGGCTTTTCTCACACAGAGGTTTACTTCACACACTCCTGAGGTGTTTCCCTCACTGAGGCAAACCAACACTTAACAGGCTTTACCCTACTCACTCTCCTCAGCGCGACACTAAGTTTGGCCCACTCACTCTAACAGGCTTCGGCCTACGCACTCTCCTCAGGGCCACACTAGCTTTGGCCCGCAAACACTAACAGGCTTTGGCCTACTCATCCTCCTCAGGACCCTCACTTTGGCTCACTGACTCTAACAGGCTTCGGCCTACTCACTCTCCTCAGGATGACACTAGCTCTGGCCCACTAAAACTAACAGGCTTTGGCCTATTCACTCTCCTCAGGGCGCCACTAGCTTTGGCCACTGACTCTTAACAGGCTGCGGCCTACTCACTCTCTTCAGGGCAACACTAGCTTTGGCCTGCTAACACTAACAGGCTTCGGCCTACACACTCTCCTTAGGACGACACTAGCTCTGGCTCACTCACTCTAACAGGCTGTGGCCTACTCACTCTTTTCAGAACAACACTAGCTCTGGCTCACTCACTCTAACAGGCTTCGGCCTACTCACTCTCTTCAGGATGACACTAGCTCTGGCTCACTCACTCTAACAGGCTTCAGCCTACTCACTCTCCTCAGGACGACACTAGCTTTGGCCCACTCACTCTAACAGGCTTCGGCCTACTCACTCTCCTCAGGACGACACTAGCTTTGGCCCACTGACTCTAACAGGCTTCGGCCTACTCACTCTCCTCAGGACGACACTAGCTTTGGCCCACTGACTCTAACAGGCTTCGGCCTACTCACTCTCCTCAGGACGACACTAGCTTTGGCCCACTGACTCTAACAGGCTTCGGCCTACTCACTCTCCTCAGGACGACACTAGCTTTGGCCCAATGACTCTAACAGGCTTCGGCCTACTCACCCTCCTCAGAACAACACTAGCTTCGGCCCACTGACTCTAACAGGCTGTGGCCTACTCACTCTCCTCAGGACGACACTAGCTCTGGCTCACTCACTCTAACAGGTTCGACCTACTCACTCTCTTCAGGACGACACTAGCTTTGACCCACTCACTCTAATAGGCTTCGGCCTACTCACTCTCCTCAGGACGACACTAGCTTTGGCCCACTGACTCTAACAGGCTTCGGCCTACTCACTCTCCTCAGGACGACCCTAGCTTTGGCCCATTACCTACCACAGGCTGAGGTCTACTCACTCTCCTCAGGATGACACTAGCTTTGGCCCACTGACTCTTAACAGGATTTGGCCTACTATACTCAGGACGACACTAGCTTTGGTCCACTGACTCTAACAGGCTTTGGCCCACTCACTCTCCTCAGGGCGACACTAGCTTCGGCCCGCTGACTCTAACAGGCTTCGGCCTACTCACTCTCCTCAGAGTGACACTAGCTTTGGCTCGCTAACACTAACAGGCTGCGGCCTACTCACTCTCCTCAGGACGACACTAGCTTTGGCCCACTGTCTCTAACAGGCTTCGGCCTACTCATTTTCCTCAGGGTGACACAAGCTTCGACCCACTGACTAGCAGGCTTCGGCCTACTCACTCCCCTCAGGATGACACTAGCTTTGGCCCACTTCTAACAGGCTTCGGCCTACTCACTCTCCTCAGGACGACACTAGCTTTGGCCCACTGACTAACAGGGCTGTGGCCTACTCACTATCATCAGGAGGACACTAGCTTCGGCCCACTGACTCTAGCAGGCTTCGGCCTACCCACTCCCCTCAGGGCCACACTAGCTTTGACCTACTGACTCTAACAGGCTTCGGCCTACTCATTCTCCTCAGGGCAACACTAGCTTTGGGCCACTCACTCTAACAGGCTTCGGCCTACTCACTCTCTTCAGGACGACACTAGCTTTGACCCACTCACTCTAACAGGCTTCGGCCTACTCACTCTCCTCAGGACGACACTAGCTTTGACCCACTCACTCTAACAGGCTACGGCCTACTCACTCTCTTCAGGACGACACTAGCTTTGACCCACTCACTCTAACAGGCTACGGCCTACTCACTCTCTTCAGGACGACACTAGCTTTGACCAACTCACTCTAACAGGCTACGGCCTACTCACTCTCCTCAGGACGACACTAGCTTTGACCCACTCACTCTAACAGGCTACGGCCTACTCACTCTCCTCAGGACGACACTAGCTTTGACCCACTCACTCTAACAGGCTACGGCCTACTCACTCTCCTCAGGACGACATTAGCTTTGACGCACTCACTCTAACAGGCTTCGGCCTACTCATTCCCCTCAGGGCGACTCTAACAGACTTCACCCAACTCACTCACCTCAGGATGACACTAGCTTTGGCCCACTGACTCTAGCAGGCTGCGGCCTACTCACTCTCCTCAGGGCGACTCTAACAGGCTTCGGCCTACTCACTCTCCTCAGGACGACACTAGCTTTGGCCCACTGACTCTAACAGGCTTCGGCCTACTCACTCTCCTCAGGACGACACTAGCTTTGGCCACTGACTCTAACAGGCTTCGGCCTACTCACTCTCCTCAGGAACACTAGCTTTGGCCCACTGACTCTAACAGGCTTTGGCCTACTCACTCTCCTCAGGGCAACACTAGTTTTGGCCCACTGACTCTAACAGGCTTCGGCATATTCACTCTCCTCAGGGCGACACGAGCTTTGGCCCACTCACTCTAACAGGCTGTGGCCTACTCACTCTCTTCAGGGCAACACTAACTCTGGCTCACTCAGTCTAACAGGCTGTGGCCTACTCACTCTCTTCAGGACGACACTAGCTCTGGCTCACTCACTCTAACAGTGTTCGGCCTACTCACTCTCTTCAGGATGACACTAGCTCTGGCCCACTCACTCTAACAGAGTTCAGCCTACTCACTCTCTTCAGGACGACACTAGCTCTGGCTCACTCACTCTAACAGGCTGCGGCCTACTCGCTCTCTTCAGGACGACACTAGCTTTGACCCACTGACTCTAACAGGCTTCGGCCTACTCACTCTCCTCAGGACGACACTAGCTTTGACCCACTCACTCTAACAGGCTTCGGCCTACTCACTCTCCTCAGGACGACACTAGCTTTGACCCACTCACTCTAACAGGCTACGGCCTACTCACTCTCTTCAGGACGACACTAGCTTTGACCCACTCACTCTAACAGGCTACGGCCTACTCACTCTCTTCAGGACGACACTAGCTTTGACCAACTCACTCTAACAGGCTACGGCCTACTCACTCTCCTCAGGACGACACTAGCTTTGGCCCACTGACTCTAACAGGCTTCGGCCTACTCACTCTCCTCAGGACGACACTAGCTTTGGCCCACTGACTCTAACAGGCTTCGGCCTACTCACTCTCCTCAGGACGACACTAGCTTTGGCCCACTGACTCTAACAGGCTTCGGCCTACTCACTCTCCTCAGGACGACACTAGCTTTGGCTCACTGACTCTAACAGGCTTCGGCCTACTCACTCTCCTCAGGACGACACTAGCTTGGCCACTCACTCTAACAGAGTTTGGCCTACTCACTCTCTTCAGGAAGACACTAGCTTTGACCCACTCACTCTAACAGGCTTCGGCCTACTCACTCTCCTCAGGACGACGGTAGCTTTGGCCCACTGACTCTAACAGGCTTCGGCCTACTCACTCTCTTCAGGATGACACTAGCTTTGACCCACTCACTCTAACAGGCTTTGGCCTACTCACTCTCCTCAGGACGACGTTAGCTTTGGCCCACTGACTCTAACAGGCCTCGGCCTACTCACTCTAACAGGCTTCAGCCTACTCACTCTCTTCAGGATGACACTAGCTTTGACCCACTGACTCTAACAGGCTTCAGCCTACTCACTCTAACAGGCTTCGGCCTACTCACTCTCTTCAGGACGACACCAGCTTTGACCCACTGACTCTAACAGGCTTCAGCCTACTCACTCTAACAGGCTTTGGCCTACTCACTCTCTTCAGGGCGACACGAGCTTTGGCCCACTGACTCTAACAGGCCTACTCACTCTTTGATTGCTTGATTCACACTTTTGTAGTAAAAAATACCCACAACCTTATGCATTTTAGGATAATAGCTTTTGCAAACAGGTTTTATTGCGGGATATAGAATAATAATAATAATAATAATAATAATAATAATAATAATAATAATAATAATAATAATTTTGCTCTACATTTGCTCAGCTGAAAACTCCAACTCGGTGTTGCAAGAAGACGTGAAGGAGCTCAAAATAAGGATGGCAGCTTTGGAAGAAGTGAGTAGATACTCCTCAAGGAATGGAAAAAAATGGGGGTTGGATGCATTGGAGAATCCCGGGGCTGCCGTGTCAAATACCTAGTGACAGTGGAGTCAAACTGCATTAATTATACAGTGTAGATCACGTATGGGCAAACACATATGCGCTCTTTTCTCAGGCCATCCTCTCTCTTATCATTCTGTCCTTCTATCCTTCACTCTCTCTTTCCTCCCTCTTTCTTCTTCCCTTCCACCCTTTTCTCCTTCCTTTCTCCCTCCCTTCTTCCCATCCACACTTTGGTCCTTACTTCCTTCTCTCCCTTTCTCCTTCCTTCCCTTGTATTTTTCCTTCCTTCTGTCTTTCCTCCATCCCTTCTTCTCCTTCCCATTCATTCTCCCTTCCTTCCCTTTCCTCCTTCCTTCTCTCCTTCTTTCCCCTTCCTTTCCTTTTGTCTTTCCTTTATCTTCCTTCCCTTCTTCTGTTATTTCCTTCTTCTTTTTCCTTCCGTCCTTCCCTTTCTCCTTCCATTACTTCATTTTGTCCTTCCTTCCCTCCTTACTTCCTCCCCTCCCTCCCTTCCTCCTTCCCTCTTTCCCTTCCACCCTTTCACACTACCTTCCTTTCCTCTCTCCCTCCTTCCTTTCATCTTTCCTTCCTTCTCTTTATCCTCCCCTTCCTCCCTTCCCTTTTTCCTTCCTCCTTCCCTTGTCTTTCCTTTCCTTTCCCTCCTTCCTCTTTCCCTTCCATCCTTCCCTCCCTTTTGTCTTTCCTTCCTTTCTCTTTCCTCCTCCTTCCTCCTCTTTCTCCTTCCATCCTTTCCCTCCTCTCTTCCTTCCTTCTCTTTCCTTCCCTTCCTCTTTCCTTCTTTTCCTTCCCTTTCCCTTCCTTCCCTTTTTCTTCCTTTCTCTTTCTTTCTCTCCTTTCCTTCCCTTTTCTTCCTCTCCCTTCCTCTTTTTCTACTTCCTTCCCTTTCATCCTTCCTTCCCTCCTTCCCTCTTTCTCCTTCCATCCTTCCCATCCACCCTTTTGCACTACCTTTCTTCCCCCCCTCTCTCCTTCCTTCATCTTTCCTTCCTTCTTTTCTTTATCCTCCCCTTCCTCCCTTTTTCCTTCCTCTTCCTCTTTCCTTCCTTTCCCTCTTTCTCCTTCCATCCTTCCTTCCCTTTTGTCTTTCCTTCCCTTTCCTTCTTCCTTTCCTCTTTCTCCTTCCATCCTTCCCTCCCTTTTGTCTTTCCTTCCTTCTCTTTCCTTCTTCCTTTCCTTTCTCCTTCCATCCTTCCCTCCCTTTTCTTTCCTTCTTCCTTTCCTTTCTCCTTCCATCCTTCCCTCCCTTTTGTCTTTCCTTCCTACTCTTTCCTTCTTCCTTTCCTCTCTCTTTCTCTTTCCATCCCTCCCTCCCTTTTGTCTTTCCTTCTTCCTTTCCTCTCTTTCTCCTTCCATCCTTCCTTCCCTTTTCTTTTCCTCCTTCTCTTTCCTCTTCCTCTTTTTCTCCTTCCATCCTTCCCTCCCTTTTGTCTTTCCTTCCCTTTCCTTCTTCCTTTCTCTTTCTCCTTCCATCCTTCCCTCCCTTTTGTCTTTCCTTCCTTCTCTTTCCTTCTTCCTTTCCTTTCTCCTTCCATCCTTCCCTCCCTTTTGTCTTTCCTTCCTTCTCTTTCCTTCTTCCTCTCTTTCTCCTTCCATCCTTCCCTCCCTTTTGTCTTTCCTTCCTTCTTTCCTTCTTCCTTTCCTCTTTCTCCTTCCATCCTTCCCTCCCTTTTGTCTTTCCTTCCTTCTCTTTCCTTCTTCCTTTCCTTTCTCCTTCCATCCTTCCCTCCCTTTTGTCTTTCCTTCCTTCTCTTTCCTTCTTCCTCTCTTTCTCCTTCCATCCTTCCCTCCCTTTTGTCTTTCCTTCCTTCTTTCCTCTTTCTCCTTCCATCCTTCCCTTCCACCTTTCATCCTTTCTTCTTCTCTCTCCCTTTCCCCTTTCTCCTTTTCTTTCCTTCCTTCCTTTCCTCTTCCTTTCTCCTTCCTTCCATCCTTCTTCCACCCTTCTTTCTCTCTCCTTTCTCCCTCCTTCTCTTTTGTCTTTCCTTCTCTATCCTTTATCCTTCCCTCTTTCCCTCTCTTCCTTCTCTTTTTTCTCCCTTGTTCCCTTTCATCTTTCCTTCCCTCTTTCCCTTCCTCTCTTTCGTCCTTCCTTCTTTCTTTTTTTCCTTCCTCCTAGTAAAGAGTGCATGCATGCAGCCTCCAAGAGAGAAAGTTTGCCCAGTTGGGGATAACCATTGTGAATCCGTCTCCAAAATGCTGAACCCAAAATGATGGAGATCCAAGAACGGAAGGGATATTCAATGCAACTTCTTCCTTTGGTAGAAATTCCAGCTGGCGATGGCGCCCTTCCTGAAAGTGGATCTGCCGGAAGGCACGACGCAAATCGACCCGTTGGGATTGCTAGTCCACTCTTTGCAGCAGCTCGAAAGGATCGATTCGCTCAGCGAACAAATCTCCTTCCTGGAGGAACGGCTGGAGACGTGTAAGGAACCAGAACTAAGTGGTGACACCTCTCTCTTAGAGGCTGAGAAAGTGTGATTTTTCAATGGGCCAAAGCTTTCCAATGCAAGACTGACCTAAAATGGCTCCCTCTCCTCCCAGAGCCCTGGGGAAAGGGGCGGAACCAAAACTTAACAATGATTGATGGGTCATTGGCCCTATAATTGCAAACCAAGGGAAGCCACCTTATTGCAAAATGCATGGAACTTTGGAATACATGCAAACACTCAAGGAAAGAAAAGGAAGTTGGAGCCTTTGGTACAGCCGTCCCAGCACATAAATATTTTTGAATATTTACTCCAGTGATGCCTCAATTAATGTAATTTTATTGGTATCTACAAGCCGTCCCCTGCCATACGTTGCTGTGGCCCACATGGGGGTTCTGTGTGAGAGGTTTGGCCCAATTCTGTTATTGGTGGCGTTCAGAATGCTTTGACTGTAGGTGAACTATAAATCCCAGCAACTACAACTCCCAAATCTCAAGATTCTATTTCCCACAAACTACACCAGTGTCCACATTTGGGCATATTGACTATTCTTGTAGAGTTTGGTCCAGATCCATCATTGTTTGAGTCCACAGTCATCTTAAGATGTAGGTGAACTACAACTTAGGGCCTCTCAGCCGAGGCACCCCGGCTTCCCGCTGGGCACAAAGTTTAAGTATTTGCTTAATTTGTTGATGATCTTAGAAGTATTTGATTGTTTGTTGAAGACTTAAGCAAGACTTTGTTAAATCTTTCAAACTTCTAAAGACTTTGTATAGGAAAATCCTTAGGGCCTCTCACTTGAGGCACCCCGGCTTCCCGCTGGGCACAAAGTTTAAGTATTTGCATTTAAATTTGGCTCTCAGCACAAAGATCCCAACACTTGGCGTCATTTCTTCCCTTTCAGGTTCCTGCAAGAACGAACGCTGATGTTGCCAAATAGGACAAGAAAAGGAAACTCACCGATCGAAAGATTTCCGTTCTGGTTCGGAGGTTTCGACAGCTCCTCGTCTCAATCGGATGACAGTGGAGACAAGTGTTCAAGGGAGGAAAGAAAGTGTTAGCCTTCCGGCGCAAGAAAACACACCGAGACCAAAGTTTTTCCTCCTTAAATAAATCTGCTTTATAAAAATCAAATCCACTCATATATTTCTGGACACAAACCCCAACGCATTTCGGAACAAAGGCACTTCTTTGGCACGTTTCCATGCGTTTACAGAGTCCAAAAAGGTTTCCTAAACGGCCTAAAAAGAGTCATATTTAAGCCTGAACTAAAGTTACAGTTTGGTCCGGTTAAAGTTGGGGTGGGAAACAAAATATAAATCTCTCAACCCTTCAAATGAGCTTTTTTTGAAAGTCCAAATACCCTGAAATAATGAAAAAGGAGGTTCGTTCCAAATCCTAAGTGCCGGAATAAGTTACCGGAAAATAGTTATTATTGCCGATTTTCGATGGATAAGAAATGCTCCCAAACACCGCTCAATTTTCCCTTTTCTCTTCTAGAGATGATAAATAACATATAGTTCCCTTTTTTGGATCATAATGACGCCCACATTCCTTTAATCCAAGGATTCTGGGCATTGCAACCCATCCCAAAACAAAACAACAACAAACCCTTCCCCAAGTTTTGGACAAATATTGCAATTCAGGCATTGGATGCCCAAAGAACGCAGCCATTTTTCAAGGTGGGCCTTTCCAACCATTTACATCCCAAGGAAATTCCCAATTATTGATCCCGGTAAACTCCAAAACAGTCCCCAAAAGAGCAATCTCTCTACGCAATGCACAACTGCAAACCCTGTCCGAAACGAAGAGCCATAAAGACGCTCGAAACACAATCCCGAGTCTCCAAACACAAAATAAGACTCATTCTGGGAATATCCCAGGACTGTTAGAAATATGTCCTGATTCAATTGGGAAAAAAAATACATTCCAGTGCCGGAAACTCTTCAGAATGTGATGGGTACGATTTCGTAGTTCCCAATCCAGTCCCAAAAAGCAGACGGGTACGATTTCAGAGTTCCCAATCCAGTCCCAAAAAGCAGACGGGTACGATTTCGGAGTTCCCAATCCAGTCCCAAAAAGCAAACGGGTACGATTTCGGAGTTCCCAATCCAGTCCCAAAACAGTAGGTCGCCAACATCTCCGCAAAGATTAGTATAAACAATGGCAATAGTGCAAATCAGGAATTTGGAGAGATCGGGGACTCCATCCTCTTCCATGTTTAGTGGGAACATTCGTCTCGGTTTGGAAACGCTGGCAGTGCTTAATTTCCCCAAATTTCCCCAAAAATTAAAAATAAAAGCAATAGAGTCACGACAGCCTCCCTCTCTTTGGTATTATTCACCGTTTGGGGTGAGGAAACGGGGATGTAAAAACATAAAAGAGAACAGGGATTATTTTGTGGAGAAAACGGGGTTTCGGCCCCTTTCGTTCCCCTCCGTGACCTCATTAAGCACGCCGAGTTTTCAGCCACGGGTGGGAGACCGAGAGGGGAAATGGAAGGTCCTCTCAACCGTGGGAGGGTTGCCACCTTCCTTGGTCCGCATCACTGAGACACCCGTGGCGGCGCTCCTCCGTTGGCTTCGCCGGGCCGCCCGGACAGCCGGAACAAGGTCTCCCGCATGGTGTTGTAGCACTGGCTGGTGAGTTCGTCCACGTCGGAAGGACCCAGGCCTTTGGTGGGAATGGCCGGAAGGACCTCCACCCGGATTTTGCCTGGAGGAACAGAAGGAGCTCGCATTAATCTTTGCGGACGACTCCCCCAAAATGGGGCAGCTTTATTTATTTATTTGCAGTATTTATATTCCGCCCTTCTCAACCTGAAGCACAACATCTAAACAGCAAACACTCAATGTCAGGACATAAATAGACTATAAGTAAAGGTAAAGGTTTTCCCCATGTCCGACTCTGGGGGTTGGTGCTCATCTCCATTTCTAAGCCTTCGGGAGATGCTAGCGGGGTACAAATAAAGTTTAATATCTAAAATTACAACAGCACTACAACAGAGAGGAAACAAACAAGGACATCTAATAACCTCTCAACAAAAGTTTGCTCCAGGCACTGTCAGACCATGATACGCTAATCAAGGTGGTCAATTGAAACATTCACACCTAGCTCCAGCAGACAAGAGTCCTTTGTCCCACCCTGGTCATTCCACAGATATATAAACCATTTTTCCTAGTTCCAACAGACCTCACTACCTCTGAGGATGCTTGCCAAAGTGCAGGCAAAACGTCAGGAGAGAATTCTTCTAGACCATGGCCATATAGCCCGAAAAAACCTACAACAACCCAGTGAGGATAAAAAACAAGGACATCTAATCACCTCTCAACAAAAGATTGCCCCAGGCACTGTCAGGCCTTATGCTAATCAAGGTAGTCAGCTGAAACATCACACCTAGCAGACAAGAGTCCTTTGTCCCACCCTGGTCATTCCACAGATATATAACCCTTTTTCCTAGTTCCAACAGACCTCACTACCTCTGAGGATGCTTGCCATAGATGCAGGCGAAACGTCAGGAGAAAATGCCTCTAGAACATGGCCATATAGCCCGAAAAAACCTACAACAACCCAGAGGAAACAAACAAGGACATCTAATCACCTCTCAACAAAAGATTGCCCCAGGCACTGTCAGGCCATTATACGCTAATCAAGGTGGTCAGTTGAAACATTTACCCCTAGCTCCAGCAGACAAGAGTCCTTTGTCCCATCCTGGTCATTCCACAGATATATAAACCCTTTTTCCTAGTTCCAACAGACCTCACTACCTCTGAGGATGCTTGCCATAGATGCAGGCGAAACGTCAGGAGAGAATGCCTCTAGACCATGGCCATACAGCCCGAAAAAACCTACAACAACCTGATGCTGTCTTCCTTTTTGGCAACTCAAATAGAGTGGGGAACGGGGGGAAATCAGAGGTGTATCTATTTGTGTCCCTACAACCAAGCACAAAATAATTACATCCTCCTTGACCTGAGGAAACGTGCCTGGCTCTGTCCCTGTCGCCAGGCATGAAATGAAGACGTCCTCCACTGAGATCCTTCAAGACGTTTTTACCATTCTGCCAGTGGAGAAGGAGGTTGTTTTGGCAAAACAAGACCGTGAAATGTGACCAAAACTTTCAGGGTGACCATACCTGATGTGAAGAGGTTCTTTGCAGGGTTGTAGAACGAAGAAAAGGACGAGTAGACCACGGGGACGACAGGAACCTATTTGTAACAGGGAAGAAGAACGCGAGAGGTGGTTTTGCAACAGATCTCAGGAAAATCTTGAGGTTTTTGTTGCTTACTTTATGGCGACTTTACTTTCCCTGGAAGCTTCTAGGGGAGTGTGTCTCAACCTTCCTGATGCCGCAACCCCTTAATACAGTTCCTCATATTGTGGTGACCCCCAAACATAACATTATTTTCATTACTATTTCACAAGTGTAATTTTGCTACTGTTATGAATCGTCATGTAAATAACTGAGATGCAGGATGTATTTTCATTCACTGAACCACATTTGGCACAAATACCCAATACGCCCAAATTTGAATACTTGGAGGGAATTGATTTTGTCATTTGGGAGTTGCAGCTGCTGGGATTTATAGTTCACTTACAATCAAAGAGTATTCTGAACTCCACCATTGATGGAATTGAACCAAACGTCCTACACAGAAAATACTGGGTTTGGTGGGAACTGACCTTGAGTTTTTGGGAGTTGTAGTTCACCTACATCTAGAGAGCACTGTAGACTCAAACAATGATGGATCTGGACCACACTTGGCATGGATACTCAATATACCCAAGTATAAATACTGATGGAGTTTGGGGAAAATAGACGCTGATCTACACTCAGTAACTTGACTCTCATTAACTTCTGACAAATCATCTTCAGACTGTTGCTCTGAGAAAGTCTGTGAAGGGCCTCTCCCAGGAATGTGGCCTTGGGAATCTTCCTGAGACAGCCTGAGCTTAACTCAGGCCCAGGCAAACCCTTACCCCATTGTAAAATAATGGATCAAATAATGGGATACTGGTTTACCTGTGTCTGGATGGCAAGGTGAAACGCTCCCTTCTTGAATGGCAGAAGGTCCCCGTTGCCGTTCCGGGTTCCCTCTGGGTAGATCCACACCTTGACCTGCAAGAAGGAGAGACACAAATACTTCCACCTGTTTTGGAACCTGGAATCGTAGCGGCATTAAACAACGGATCTCATAATTATAAGATGATGACGATTACTGTATATACTCGAGTATAATTTTTCAGCCCCTCTTTTTAGGCTGAAAAAGCTCCCCTCGGCTTATACCCGAGTCAAGGTTATTTATTATTTTACTCAGTTATTAGTATTATTACTAGTATATTAGTTTTATTTCATGTATTATTTTACTCTCTTTATTATTATTACATTTACAGTATTTTTTCCCTATTATTACATTTATTATTGCATTTATTATTTTACTCTATTATTATATTTATTATTTTATTCTATTATTACATTTATTATTGCTTTTCCATTATTTTACGTTATTATTATTATTATTATTATTGCATTTTCCATTATTTTACTTTATTATTATTATTGCATTTCCATTATTTTATTATTATTATTATTGCATTTATTATTTTACTCTATTATTAAATTTATTATTTCCCTCTATTATTACATTTATTATTGCATTTCCATTATTTTACTTTTTTTAAATTATTATTATTATTGCATTTATTATTTTACTCTATTATTACATTTATTATCTTACTCTATTATTACATTTATTATTTTACTCTAGTGTTACCTTTATTATTGCATTTCCATTATTTTACTTATTATTATTATTATTGCATTTATTATTTTACTCTATTATTACATTTATTATTGCATTTCCATTATTTTACTTTATTATTATTATCATTGTTGTTGTTATTGTTATTATTGCATGTATTATCTTACTCTATTATTACATTTATTATTTTACTCTAGTGTTACCTTTATTATTGCATTTCCATTATTTTACTTATTATTATTATTATTGCATTTATTATTTTACTCTATTATTACATTTATTATTGCATTTCCATTATTTTACTTTATTATTATTATCATTGTTGTTGTTGTTATTGTTATTATTGCATGTATTATTTTACTCTATTATTACATTTATTATTTTACTCTATTATTACATTTATTATTGCATTTCCATTATTTTACTTTATTATTATTCTTTGCGTGTGGACACCTGGCACTCACGTTGTCCGCAACCATGGCCTGCCCAACCTCGGCCATGACGGATTTCGCGTTGCTGGTGCTCTTCCGGTTGATGAAGATGACCCCTCCGAGCCACATGATCAAGCCCACCGACCCGAAGTAGAGGAGTTCCCGTTTCCCGATCTGGACGCAGCGCTCCGGGAGAATCTCCATCAAGCCTAAGGACGGACGGAAGAACGAAGGTGGAGGTTACAAAGCCCTTGGTGAGTCAACAACGTTCCCTCGTTGTCATCCTTTGAGCGGTGATGGCACCATCATCAGCATACATCAAACTCTGTGTCCCTTGTGACAGTGCCTGATTACAGAAGCTCTCTTCATAGACCTGTGAGCAGCTAATGATACAGTAATACCACCTAAAGCTTCAGAGAGCTTCTGTTCAACCATTTCAAAGCTCCCTGCTTGGGTGGTGATGGCACTATTACAGGGAAAACAAGCTGATCCCTAATCCATTTAAAATGCAGACGCGTGCTTTTCATCTCAAGAACAGACAAGCATCTCGAGCTCTGAGGATGACCTGGGAAAGAATCCCACTGGAGCATTGCAGCAATACCTGGGAGTCACTTTGGACCATGCTCTGACCTACAAGAAGCACTGCCTGAACATCAAGCAAAAAGTGGGTGCTAGAAACAACATCATACGAAAGCTGACTGGCACAACCTGGGGATCACAACCAGACACAGTGAAGACATCTGCCCTTGCGCTATGCTACTCTGCTGCTGAGTATGCATGCCCAGTGTGGAACACATCTCACCACGCTCTTAATGAGACATGCCGCATTATCACGGGGTGTCTGCGCCCCACACCACTGGAGAAATTACACTCTTTAGCCGGTATTGCACCACCTGACATCCGCCGGGAAGTAGCAGCCAGTGCCCTTGCACTTTGGTACTCTGCTGCTGAGTATGCATGCCCAGTGTGGAACACATCTCACCACACTAAAACTGTGGATGTGGCTGGAATCACTGGGTTGTTGTGAGTTTTCTGGGATGTCTGGCCATGTTCCAGAAGCATTCTCTCCTGACGTTTTGCCCACATCTTTGGCAGGCATCCACAGAGGTTGTGATGTCTGTTGGAAACTAGGTCACTGAGATATATGTGTGTGTGTGTGTGTATATATATATATATATATACACACACACACACATACACACACACATTAGCCATCCCCAGCCACACGTTGCTGTGGCCCAGTCTGTGTATATGTGTTTTGTGTGTGTGTATATTTGTGTATATATGTGTCTTTGCATATATATATATATATATATATATATATATATATATAAGCTGTCCCCTGCCACACATTGCTGTGGCCCAGTCTCTGTATATGTATATTGTGAGTGTATAGATTATATATTATATATGTGGTTTTGTACATGTGTTTAAGTCCCTTCTGCTTTGTTTTTCAATGTTTTTATGAGTGATGATCACTTGTTGGCCTGATAGGTGTCTTGTGTCCAAATTTGGTGACAATTCGTCCAGTGGTTTTTGAGTTATATTAATCCCACAAACCAACATTACCATATACACACACACACTAGCCATCCCCTGCCACAGTTTGCTGTGGCCCACATGGGGGTTCTGTGTGGGAGGTTTGGCCCAATTCTATCGTTGGTGGGGTTCAGAATGCTCTGTGATTGTAGGTGAACTATAAATCCCAGCAACTACAACTCCCAAATGTCAAGATTCTATTTTCCCCAAACTCCACCAGTGTTCACATTTGGGCATATTGAGTATTGTGTAGAGTTTGGTCCAGATCCATCATTGTTTGAGTCCACAGTGATCTCTGGATGTAGGTGAACTACAACTCCAAAACCAAAGGGCACTGCTCACCAAACCCTTCCAGTATTTTCTGTTGGTCATGGGAGAACTGTGTGCCAAGTTTGGTTCAATTCCATCGTTGGTGGGGTTCAGAATGCTCTTTGATTGTAGGTGAACTATAAATCCCAGCAACTACAACTCCCAAATGACAAAATCAATTTTTTTGAGTGAAGGACATACATTGGGTTGTTAGGTGTCTTGTGTCCAAATTTGGTGTCAATTCCTCCAGTGGTTTTTGAGTTCTGTTAATCCCACAAACGAACATTACATTTTTATTTATATAGATATATATATATATATATATCTGGATGGAATAAAGTCCAGGGTGGGAGAAAAAGCTCTTGTCTGTTGGGGGCAAGTGTTAATTTTGCAATTGGTTAGCTTGATTAGCACTGAATGCCCTTGCAGCTTCAAAGCCTGGCTGCCTACTGCCCTGGGGAATCCTTTGTTGGGAGGTGCTAGCTGTCCCCGATTGGGCTATGCAGTGCTACTCAAGCTGGCCAGTTGTCAAGATGGAGGGACTTACCCATCATATCGAGGATGCTTTGATGGTTCGAGACAATGACGCACGGCCCTTCGATCTCAAAATGCTCCAAGCCTTTGGTCTCGAACCGGAGGCCATAGAAGTATTTGAAGCTCCGGACGACGTTCTTGATGATCCTAAACGGGAGAGAAGCGAAACGGAGAGGTAAGGAGAGGCGCCTCCGAAAACGGTCTGTTTACCAACCTTCCTGAACTCGTACATATATTCCCATACAGAGAATACTACGTTTCTTGACAAACTGCAAAACTCAGAATTGTAGCAGTGGAAGTGATACTGAACCGCAATAAAATATGCAGTGCGGACACAAACCGGCTAAGGGCAAAGTCCTCCGGAAATGTAGGCCCGGAAGGCACACCTGCCTGCGCAATTTGCACCGAAATATGTATTGCATATATTAGAGAAACTGGCTCCGCAACTAAACGGGAAGAGTTGTGGAAACTCCGGAAAGGACTTTCCCCCCCAAAAGCAACAGAAGCCAAGCAACGAACCATTATTATTATTATTATTATTATTATTATTATTATTATTATTATTATTCTTCACAGGGCACTGAAACTATACATGTGTAATGATATAAGTTTCTATAGGTTTTGTGCCAAATTACAACTCAGAACTGATAAGGGCCTCAAATCCAACGCACCCAATTCCGCGTAAGGTCTTTATTCTGGGATGAAATGGGAAAGACACTACCTTATCTACACTGCCAAATTAATGCCCTTTGCCAAATGCCAAATTAATGCAATTAATGCTTTTAGTGTTTATAGAGTCGTGGGAGTTGTCGTCGGAGGACGCTCTTCACCTTCCCAGCGAAACAACGGCAGCAGCGCACCAAACGACGACATCCCAGGATTACATACGAGGGGTGTTCATTAAAGAGTTCCCCTGACCCACTTCAGGATGCTGAAACTGCACATGTGTCATGATATATTTCGCTATAGGTTACGTGCCAATTTCCAACTCTGAACTGATAACGGTCTTGATGTGACAGGTGCAGAAGTGGGGTGAGGTTTGAGAATGGACCCAATGGAAGACAGAGCAGTCCTCAAGTTCCTTTACTCGAAAGTCCGCACACCAAAGGAGACGTTCGATGAGATGGAAGAGGTTCATGGTGAGGATTCCCCATCGTATGATGGAGTCAAGAACTGGCATCGTCCATTCCAATGTGGTCAGACTTTGGTGGAAACAGTTCCCATTCCAGGGCGACCCCAATCTGCTATTGATGGACACACCATCCAGCAAGTGGAGGTCGCCATTTTGGAAAATTGCTGCATAAACATTCAGCATCGAGCCCAAAATGTCAAGATGAGTGTGGGGTCCGTGGAAGAAATCATCCAAGACCATCTTCCCATGCATAAGGTCTCCGCTAGCTGGGTTTCCCGGCTGCTCACACCTTTCCAGAAGCAGGAACAAGTCGAATGCTCTCGGGCTCTCTTGACAATGATGTGCCATGGAAGCCAGGAGGACTTTGTCAACAGACTCATCACTCAGGAGGAAATCTGGGTCCATCACTCTGATCCTGAGACTGAAGTCCAGTCAATGCCATGGAAGCATCCTGATTCACCGCCTCCAAAGAAGGCACGTGCCCAACTCTCGGCAGGCAAGGTTATGCTCACAGGATTTTGGGGGAAACCAGGAGGACTTTGTCAACAGACCGATCACTCATGAGGAAAGCTGGGTCCATCCCTCTGATCCTGAGACTAAAGCCCAGTCAATGCCATGGAAGCATCCTGACTCACCGCCTCCAAAGAAGGCACGTGCCCAACTCTAGGCAGGCAAGGTCATGCTCACAAGATTTTGGGACCAGCATGGAGGAGGATGGATAGATTTCCTAGCCAAGGGGACCATCATCACCGGGGCAGACGAGGCTTCACTGCTACAGAAATTGCAGGAGGCCATCCAGACCAAGAGACAATGTGGCATGCTCCCCGAAAGTGTCCACCTTCTGCAAGACAACTCACCAGCTCACAACTCCTCTGTTGCACAAATGGAAGAAGCATGCTTTGACATTCTACCGTATCCCCGATTCACCCCATCTCGCACCATCGGACTTCCACTTCTTCCCAACCAGGAAGTTATTTTTGAATGGCAAGCCTTTATCAGATGATGATAAAGACAGTGGATGTGGCTCTTAATGAGACATGTCGCATTATCGCGGGGTGTCTGCGCCCTACACCACAGGAGAAATTACACTGCTTAGCCGGTATTGCACCACCTGACATCTGCCTGGAAGTAGCAGCCAATAGTGAAAGGACCAAGGCAGAGACATCTCCAGCTCATCCCCTGTTTGGGTATCAGCCAGCACGTCAACGACTTAAATCAAGAAATAGTTTTCTAAGATCTACAGAGACACTCGCTGGAACACCTCAGCAAGCGAGAGTCCAAAAGTGGCAGGCTCAAACCCAGAACCTCAACCAATGGCTGATACCAAATGAGAGACACACAGAAGACTGGACGACTTGGAAGGCGCTAACAGACCACGAGATGCAGAGCCAACCTCAAGAAATGGGGCCACAAAGTGGAATCCACAACATGCAAGTGCGGAGAGGAGCAAACCACTGACCACCTGCTGCAACGCAACCTGAGCACCGTCACATGCACAATGGAGGACCTTCTTGCGGCAACACCAGAGGCACTCCAAGGGGCCAGAGACTGGTCAAAAGACGTTTAATCAACTACCAAACTCACAAATGTTAGGTTTTGTCTGTTTGTTTGCTTTGTTCTGTTAGAGACGTAATATAATTGACTGGTTGCCCTGACACGAGAAATAAATGAGATGATGAGACTCTCATTTCCAAAGTCGCAACCTTTCAATTTCCACAAACAAGGTGTTGCCAAGTGGCTTCCAAAGATGGGAGACGTGTGTGTCCCAAGTGGCACCCATGGAGAGAAGAAGGGGTCAGAACTGGGCCAAGTTTCCTTGCTCTCCGTCCACAGGAAGGGGGTCAAGGGAAACCTTTCAGGAACGCCCCTCGTAGCTATCTATTTGGTGGATATTTTCATGACAAAAGGGTTGGAACAACGGGATGAGAACAGGCAAAACGCAGAGACAAAACCAACTCAAAACACACTTTGCAATCTGCCTCCAATCCGTTGCGTGGTCACAAAAAGCCAAACCGGACCGTCGAGGTCACGTTTTGCTTAGCGAAGCAGCGACAACGTTGGCTTCTCTTTGCAAACAACAGCTGCCTCTTTACAAGCTGGGTGGAATCACGTCCCATAAAAACCACAATAAAAAGAGGCTCATTGACAAGGGGAAAAAAAGGTTTATTACTCTGCATGGCAGAACTGGTTTGCTTACAAGCCTTTGTCTCCTTTTCCAAATGCAGATACCCTCCCTGATTGACTTTGAAGCTGCAAGGCCATTCCATGCTAATCCAGCTGGCCAATTGCAACATTCACACTTGCCTCAAGCAGACAAGAGTTCTTTCTCCCACAGACCTCACAACCACTGAGGATGCCTGCCATAGATGTGGGTGAAACGTCAGAAGAGAATGCTTCACTCCACAGATATATCAAACCCACTTGCAGCCAGGCTTTGAAGCTGCAAGGCCATCCAATGCTAATCAAGGTGGCCAATGGCAACAGTCACACTTGCCTCCAGCAGACAAGAGTTCTTTCTCCCACCCTGGACATCATTCGACAGGTATATAAACTTCACTTGCAGCCAGGCTTTGAAGCTGCAAGGCCATCCAATGCAAATCAAGTTGGCCAATGGCAACAGTCACACTCGCCTCCAACAGACAAGAGTTCTTTCTCCCACCCTGGTCATCATTCCACAGGTATATAAACTACTTGCAGCCAGGCTTTGAAGCTGCAAGGCCATTCAGTGCTAATCAAGGTCGCCAATGGCAACCTTCACACTCGCCTCCAACATACAAGAGTTCTTTCTCCCACCATGAACATTCCACAAATACATAAACAGGCAGGAAGAAGCCAGCCTATGAAGCTGCAAGGCCATTCAATGGCAATCAAGATGGCCAATGGCAACCTTCACACTCGCCTCCAGCAGACAAGAGTTCTTTCTTCCACCCTGGACATCATTCCACAGGTATATCAACCCCACTTGCCTACTTTCCAACAAACTTCACCACCTCTGAGGATGCCTGATATAGATGTGGGTGAAACGTCAGGAGAGAATGCTTCTGGAGCATGCCCAGACAGCCCAGAAAATTCACAGCAACCCAATGATTCTACCTATGGAAACCTTTGACAAGACATCCCCTGTCAGCATTGCCCCATCTTCTCCTCGAAGAGGCCCTATCGCCTCCTTGTTTTTCCTTTTTCTACTGACATAAGAAAAGAATCCCTTTTTATTGTTTTTAATGTCCCTGGCAAGCCTGAGCTCGTTTTGTGCTTTAGCCTTGCGGACCTTTTCCCTACAGGTGTTGGCTATTTGTTTGAATTCTTCTTTGGTGATTTCTCCCTTTTTCCACTTCTTGTGCATGTCTCTTTTGTGTTTTAGCACAGTTAGAAGTTCTTTGGACATCCATTCTGGCTTCTTTGCACTTGTCCTATTTTTCCTCTTTGTTGGCACTTTGTTGGACCTTTTCCCTACAGGAGTTGGCTATTTGTTTGAATTCTTCTTTGGTGATTTCTCCCTTTTTCCACTTCTTGTGCATGTCTCTTTTGAGTCTTAGCACAATTAGAATTTCTTTGGACATCCATTCCGACTTCTTTGCACTTTTCCTATTTTTCCTTTTTTGTTGGCACTGTTTGCAGTTGCGCCTGGAGTATTTCACTCTTGAAAAACTCCCATCAATCCGTAACTCCCTTGCTGCTCAGCGTTTCCTTCATTTTTCGGAAATCAGCTCTCCTAAAGTCCAAAATGCGGGTTTGACTTGTCTTAGTTTCGGCCTTCCTTTGATCAAATGTCTGAAGAACAAGCCCTATGAGAAGTGGCTTAAAGAGCTGGGCATGTTTAGCCTTCAGATTCACAATATTCACAACCCGCATCTACCCAGCTTGTAACTCTATCAAAAAAGGAGCTCAAATGTCACATCGTGAAACGACACGGGGACTTTTGCCCCCATTGAGAAACCGGAACGATGAATCATTCTGGTTCAAAGACGTCTGTGCTTTTGCTTTTGACCCGGTGAAGTCGCTCTCGCTTCTGTTT